ACAAATTTCGAAAACGAGAGAGACAGGTTCACCATTATTCTACCATCCCTTCTCACTGTACTTTAGCAGAAAACATGCCCAGCCTACAAAACTACAATTATAATGAAACAACAAAATGAGATAAATGCTAGCATCTTTTGTTAACAAAAATACACAAACTTTGATCAATGGGAGCAGCCTAGCAGGGCATTTCAGCGGAAGCCAAACCTTGACTGTTCTTGGTGAAAGGCTGGCACAGGTCTGCTCTACCACTACGCCAGGAGGAAGAGGGTTGTGATTCATAAATGTAGTTACTAAACAATAAAATACAATGTACAGGGCACATAATGGGTTCGGGCGGAAGGGTATTGGGTGACTCTTACACATGATTTTTATAAAACCTAAATAAATAATAATAACGAAAAAAAATCGCACTAATCAAACACACTATAAAACAGAGTTAAATAATGGAAGATGCATGGAAAGAATTCATGAACCATTTATAAACACAAGTGTAAATATGTCATCTCCTGGGCAAAATTGAAATAACAAGATGGAAAGTAACACGTTATGTATGATTAATGGCAGGTTTCTTTACAAACAGCTGAAGTAACAAGTTTATATGGTAACAGGCACCTCCCAGCCAGGCTCCAGGACTGGCAGTGTAATTTTAACATAGCTTTAGGTTACGAGTGACCATGTGGGTTTCAGTACCCCACTGTGTGTGTATGGTGGATCCACTGCGTAGCATGCACACAATTCACCAGTGGACAACTCACACAGGTTAGTTTTGTTCTACTATTTTCTTTCTTTGGTAGCTCACCTGTGATTGGTTATTTTATCTTCTACACCAAAAGTCAGAAATCTTTCTGATGACCCCAGTGACCTCACAGTAAGTCCATCTAATTAAGGGAAAAACATGTCCACCCCAGCTCCTGAAAACTGTATATGCTTATCACAATAGACAGGTTCTGTTCACCCCCCCCCCCCCCCCAATAAAAAGGACATGGATCTCACATAATTCTTCCTATCTTGATTCTCTTGCACCTGGCAGTGTTGATGTGAAGTATATACTATTTATTCCTAGCACACTGACTAGACTTGCTCATTTCAAGCGTGGTAAAGTATTCTTTTTTTTATTAGTCCATTCTTTGGGGTGTTGGTAGTCATGTTTATCCACAACCTTCTGTCTCGTGTACTTTCAATCAATTCTGACCCAGATGATCTTCCATGCCATAATGTCAAACTCCAAGCATGTCATAAAAAATTACTAATCAGGGGTGTAGAATATGCTGCTTAAGAAATCACAAGGTGATCATGCCTCAAATTGGTATAGTTCTATTGTACTTGCACCATTTCTTATATTTCATGCCATGTTGAGCTGAGAGTCGACATCACAGCACTTGAGATATTCCCATAAGTGCTCCATCCCCCTCAGCAGCTGATGCAGAGTTCCAGTTCCGATGATACCAGTAACAGTCTGATTATAATTTGTGTTGTCTCTCCTCTGGAGTTTTGACCTGGTCACTACCCGCTGAACTATTCTCTCCAAACTGTGACAATTTATTGTGTGCTTTTGCATTACTCATAGTCATACATTAAGTCATTGGTAGTCATGGCTATCCACAGCCTTGTGTCTCGTATGCTTTCAATCATTTCCATCACATGATCCTCCAGGTCACAGTGTCAAACTGCGCAGCCCAGTATCCTCACTCTAGGTCTGCCTGTGATCAACCTAGGCAGTTTTTAACACTTTAAATCCCAAAGTCTGCGTGTATCAGAGTATTGAGGGAAGCATGTAAAAAAGCAACTTGGACATAACTGGCTAATGTAATAGAACAGTGGGACAAAATAAAATAGGAAACACAACATGTACAGAGTAAACAATGTCCCTGTGTGGGTTCCAGGGCCCCACTGGGGGCAACTAAAATGCAACTAATTAGTTTTCTTAATTCTGATGTGTTGGGCCAAACGTCGTAGATTTCACAGCCTAGTTAAGCAGCACATTTTGCTAACTACACTTTTAAGGCCGAATACAGAAAAAGGGCAATAAATGAATGTGAAGTGAGTTTGTCTCTTGTCATGAAGAATCCTGATCGCCTACATTCCATTTCTGCCTAAATATGAGCTTATCATCTACTTTATTTGTTTCTTCTTAGTGCACTGTTTTCTTTGCACTTTGTTTCTTCTTAGTGCACTGTTTTCTTTGCACTTTGTTTCTTCTTAGTGCACTGTTTTCTTTGCACTTTGTTTCTTCTTAGTGCACTGTTTTCTTTGCACTTTGTTTCTTCTTAGTGCACTGTTTTCTTTGCACTTTGTTTCTTCTTAGTGCACTGTTTTCTTTGCACTTTGTTTCTTCTTAGCGCACAGTTTTCTTTGCACTTTGTTTCTTCTTAGTGCACTGTTTTCTTTGCACTTTGTTTCTTCTTAGTGCACTGTTTTCTTTGCACTTTGTTTCTTCTTAGCGCACAGTTTTCTTTGCACTTTGTTTCTTCTTAGTGCACTGTTTTCTTTGCACTTTGTTTCTTCTTAGTGCACTGTTTTCTTTGCACTTTGTTTCTTCTTTGTGCACTGTTTTCTTTGCACTTTGTTTCTTCTTAGCGCACTGTTTTCTTTGCACTATGTTTCTTCTTAGTGCACTGTTTACTTTTCACTTTGTTTCTTCTTAGCGAACTGTTTTCTTTTCACTTTATTTCTTCTTAGTGCACTGTTTTCTTTGCACTTTCTTTCTTCTTTGTGCACTGTTTTCTTTGCACTTTGTTTCTTCTTAGCACACTGTTTTCTTTGCACTATGTTTCTTCTTAGTGCACTGTTTTTTTGCACTTTGTTTCTTCTTTGTGCACTGTTTTCTTTGCACTTTATTTCTTCTTAGCCCACAGTTTTCTTTGCACTTTGTTTCTTCTTAGTGCACTGTTTTCTTTGCACTTTGTTTCTTCTTTGTGCACTGTTTTCTTTTCACTATGTTTCTTCTTAGTGCACTGTTTACTTTTCACTTTGTTTCTTCTTAGCGCACTGTTTTCTTTTCACTTTGTTTCTTCTTAGTGCACTGTTTTCTTTGCACTTTCTTTCTTCTTAGTGCACTGTTTTCTTTGTACTTGCATTAAGGAACCACAACTCTGCTGTCATCGAGTGTCTTCTTACTGTCCAAGCAGTGACACCCACCGACATAAAACTGACTTCATCAAGGACAACCATTAGCCAATGGACCCCATTACCGTGGAAGTTCTTCAGAGGTGCTTCTGCACAGGAAGCAGAATAGAGATACCAGCAACCACTGTGTCTTCAGAAGACTTTATTATTGGACACACACACACACCTCCCAATCAAAGCAGCTGACCCTTCCTTCAGACGACTACAGCTACTGCACAGTATTGCAACAATTTAATTAAACTAAAAACAAAGGCTACATTTTGGGGGGGGGGGGGGGAACAAAGATAACGTTTAAAGGAACCACTACTTCTACTGAAGCTAAAAGGGCTATGATGAATTTAAACAAAAATGGAAAATGTACATATACAATACCGGAAACAGGAAGAATGTAAGTCAAGAATATGAAAGCTTAGAACACACAGAGAGAAGAGTGGCAAACAATTCTCAACCAAACTGGTTGTCTGTACACAAAAACAGAATTTGCAACTATAAACCAAGACTGGAATTAAAATGCAAAACAATTTGAAATCAAAAGTGATCACACATCAAAAATATCCAACACGAGCATGTTGCATGCAGAAGATACCCTCAGGAAGTGTGTCCAGACGATTCTCATCTCCGACTGGTTCGTTTTATTTGATTTTCTTTGTTTGGTAGCTCGTGTGTGATTGGTTATTTCATCTTCTACATCATAAGTCAGAAATCTTTCTGACGACCTAAGTGACCTCATAGTAAGTACATCTAATTAGGGAAACATAATATCCAGTCGAAGGTCTTGAAAACTCTATAGGCTTATCACAATAGACAGGTTCTGTTCACTTCCAAACAATAACATAATGGATCTGACATAATTCTTCTTAATCAATCATTGTTGTGAAGAATGAAGACTATTCCTCCATCTTGATCCTCTAGCACCTCGCAGTGTTGATGTGAAGTATAGACTATCTATTCCTCCATCTTGATCCTCTAGCACCTCGCAGTGTTGATGTGAAGTATAGACTATCTATTCCTCCATCTTGATCCTCTAGCACCTCGCAGTGTTGATGTGAAGTATAGACTATCTATACCTCCATCTTGATCCTCTAGCACCTCGCAGTGTTGATGTGAGGTATAGACTATCTATTCATAGCAAACTAACTACAGACCTACTTATTTCAAGTGAAAGGTATATTTTTCAAACAGTTTATGCCCTGTGGCAAGGGTATCCATGCCTATCAAAATCTTCTGTCTCGTGTACTTTCAATCAATTTTACCACAGATGATCTTTAATGCCATGATATCAAAATGTTCACTATCTTTTCTCTTGGTCTCCCGCTTGTCTCTTTTCCCCCTTCAACTGTCACAATGAACTCCAGTTTTCTTCTTCTCATGACATGATCACAGAATGTAGATCGTCTCTATCTGATGTGGGCAATCTCTTCGTAAGTCGGTTTCTTTCAAAACATCTTTTCTACTTTTTACATCCGCCCAGGGTATTCTCATCATTCATCCATAAAATCAAATCTCCGCTGCTTCCAAATAATAAGCATAAAATCCATAGTCAACATATTTCCAGCAAACTGACAGTATATGGTTCCAGTGAATAAGAGAATTCTTATCTTCTATTGTCAAAAATCCACAAGCCTATTTCTAGAAAATTCTCAAACAGATCACAAGGTATTTCTGGCGAACCAGCTACACACTACAGGATATTTCCAGTGAATTGTCTACACACCACAATCTATTTCCAGTAAGCTGCCTATGTTAAAATTACCTGGCAACTCTGAACCTGACAGATGCCATGTGAATTGTGACATATGTGACAGATGCCATGTGAATTGTGACGTCTGTAATTAGCAAACAACAATCTAGATGACTGAAGTCGTGCTAGCCTAAAAATTCTGCTGTCGTTTCTTCTTAGCATCGATTGCTTCCAGAATTGGCTGTCGCTTGGCCTGGTACCTGGCTCGGAGTTCCTCTATCTCACGCTCCATCTCTGGGTCTAAGTCTGCAAGCCTCCGCTCCAATTCCTCGTAGGCCAGTGTTCGCAACTGTGGAGAAACAACAATAAATGGTATTAATTGGATAGCTACTCTGAAAACCTGATGCGTTGACAAATATCTACTGTCATTATGTATCATCCCAATGTGGCTTCTAGGGCTCCACTGCAAGCATGTCATAAGGGTAAACTAATTAGGTGTTTCTTTCAAAGTTCGAGTGCATCTGCCTGAGCGGCAAGGAACCAACAGCCTGCATACAAATAAGCCAGATCTGTAAAACTGATGTACAAACAAGACTAAAATCCAGTGGACAAACAAACAGGACTGTCCGCTGGAGTTTACAGTCGGTGAACGTGAAAACGAAGAAGAACGATTATACAAGGTCCGACAATTAAGTCATGAGACTAATTCCATAAAAATGAAAATAATCAACAGTTAAAAATATAACCTGTATTTTATTCATAGTTAGCCCCTTGTGCATTGATACAGCAAATAGCACAATCTAACAAACACCAGAATGACCTCTGTAGTTCTGTTATTATGGTCCTCAAAGTCGATGTTACGGCCATTTTGATGTCATCAAAATCGTTAAAAAAGCGTCCTTTCATTCAAAACTTTAATTGTTGGACCTTGTATATCAGAAGTACTATATTAGAGTTGAGTTAAGGGTCGACATCACAGCAGCCGGGACATTCCCATAAGCACTCCATCCCCATCTTCAGCAATCAGCGCAGAGTTCCAATTCTGGCGGCAACAGGAGCAGTCTCATTGTATGTCAGAACTGACCATGAGTAGCTTAGCAGCGAACATCAGCCAGATTCCCTGGTAACTCCGAGCTGTACCATTCTCTACAGACCGCAATGATCTATTTGTGCCTCTGCACGGTTTTCTCACTCCCAAAGGGCCCTGACATCATCTATCTTGCCATGCAGGGATTTCCCCAACAAGTGAGGCAGAATCAGTCAGTCTATCGAAGTGTTCATTTCCCAACACACCTAGATGCCCCAGAGAAAAGAGCCAATAGACACTAACTACCTGGGTCATCTAAAGCGATGGCCCCCAATACAGATTATATTAAATGCCCACTGTCTTCACTGACTGTCTTCTTTGGTAATGTGATGAGAAGAAGCATTGAATGACAGTTCTGGCGTTACCATAGCAACAGGTGCCAACACTAACTATTAGATACTCACAAATTCAAAGTCTCCGTCGATAAAGGACCGCTGGAAGTGATGAGGGGGTGTGATCTGTTTGGGAGCTGCTGGCTGTGGCTGTTGCGGCTGCTGCTGTTGTACCTGTGCAGGTGGCTGCTGGGACTGTCTCTGAACAGGTGCCTGCGCGTGGCTGTTGGCAGAGGATGTGGATTTTGACTTCTCCTGGTCCTGCTTCTCGAAGTGATCCATATAGGATGGTCGGTACTGTTCCTTGCCTCCTGTCGCTGAACTATGCCCTGTTGGTACAGAAGTGAAACAAAGTCTTATATTTGGTTCGCAACACAGCATATCAGACTTTGAACACAAGATATCAATACCGTACACAATACATTAGGCTTTGAATACATAACATCACAATATGGACAGAACAGACTCTGAACACATCAGACTTTGAACACAATGCAACAGACTATGAACACACCACATCACACTTTGAAGACAAGACACACTAAACGCAACACATCAGCCATTTCAACTGTAATCTTCTTCTTCTTCGCGTTCACCAGCTGTAAACTCTGGTGTAAAGTTCTGGTTGTTCGTCCACTTCTGGACTGCAGTCCTGTTCCAGAACCTGAGTGTTGCGTGTGCATCAGTTTTACAGATCTGATTCAATTGAATGCAGACTGCTGGTTCCTTGCCTCTCAGGCAGATGCACTCTGACTTCAGAAGCTCCCCAGTTAGTCGACTCTTACGACATGCTTTTGGGGAGGCAGTGGGTCTATTCTTGTTTTCCCCACAATAGGGCCCCGGAACCCACACGGGGGTCAACTGTAATAAACTCTGATATGTCAAATCCTGTTTACACTGCTCTATTATTATACATACAGTACGAAACATTCATAATCTCATAATAAAACAGTCATCTTCTTGATCATCATATTCTAACTAACTACTATGTTCTCACCAACTGTCACACTCACAAAACATTTTTAGCAACCTTGGAGGTTCAAGATATCTCAACATTTACACCATTCCTACCATAATGACCTAACATTCACACCATTTCTATCATAATGACCTAACATTCACACCATTCCTACGATAATGACCCAACATTCGTATTATTTCTACAATAATGACCTAACATTCACACTATTTCAACCATAATGATCTAACATTCACACCATTCCTACCATAATGACCAAACATTCACACCATTTCTACCATAATGACCTAACACTCACATTATTCTCACCACACCATCTAACATTCACATCAATCTTCCGCATTCACATCATCTCCTTGCTTTCAAAGAACAAACAGCTTACTCTTCATCGTCCCATCCTCGGAGTCTGTATCATCATTGATCACCATGGTTCCCAGCTCTGACTGGAGGGTTGAGGCCTCGCTGTTGACTACCACTGTACCACTTGGGGTCAGTGTGCCTACCGGGACAACAAGCAACACATGAGCACTGACAGCAGCGCTATACAGTTTTACAAATAAATAAAAAGTTTGTTGTATATTCTTTGCACGGTCATGCAAACCGACCCCAGTCTTTGTTGGTTGTTTGTAGTTTTACTAGGCCATTTTGTGTTCAGTAGTTTGCCCCTGCATTCTGAATAAATGTGCTCACATCTTCTCAAAGTCCATGCTGTGTGGCATTAGTAGTCATATCTATCCACAACCTTGTCTTGCGTACTTTCAATCAACTCTGATAAAGATGATCCTCTATGCCATGATGTCCAACTGTCCAGCATCTGTTCTCTTGGTCTCCCTCTGCCTCTCCTCCCCTCCAACTTTCCTACTGTCACGAGGTACTCCAGTTTTCTCCTTCTCATCACATGACCAAAGAATGTAGATTGTCTCTTTCTGATGTGGGCAATGAGTTCTCTCTGTGAGTCAGTTTCTTTCAAGACAACTTCTTTTCTGTTTTTATCTGTCCAGGGTATTCTCATCATTCATCTATAAAACCAAATCTCTGCAGCTTCCAAATAAGTTTTCAGTAATTTACCAACTGTCTATTGATTCAATTCCAAATATCAATATAAAATTTATATAGCTGACATCATTTTTGAAATCAACACAAAGCAGCCTGTTGCCAAATCGTCTGCAACTGAATAAAACCTGGTGTGTCAGTACTATGATACTACTGGTAACCCCTAAGCCCCAGATACAGGTGCTCAGTACATATGGATAAAGATTCGACATCATAGCATTCAAAACATGACCATATTAGCTCTGCATCAATCCTCAACAGTCAGAGAGTTTACACACTGATGGTACCTGATTACTGGGTTAACCCTTTGGAGACGATGCGGTAGAAATATCGGCCCGACACAGGTAGCCAAAAGGAAGACTGGGCTGCTCGTTTGGCCCTATGTAATACAAGCCCCGAGATTGGCTGGTCGGTTTTTGCACCAGCCAATCAGATTGCTTCTCGCATTTCTTGCATATGTGGGCTGTTCAAGGACACCTTTCGAAAAAGTCTGATGTGTTCTGTAGTTTTGTTCTAGGGTTACCTGTGCCCAACAGTAGTGAGAAGGAATGCTGCCTCATAGCAACCGAAACATAGCTGGAGGCAGGAAAGTGAGTAGAACAATGTGCCAAAGTGTCTGAAGGGCCTCCAAGGGCCTTACTTCCCAAAGTACGTGCTAGGACTTATTCAGCTTTATTCATAAAAAAAAAATCACCCAAAATTTGTAGATTAGTCATGTTTGTTCCCAAGTTTAAAAAAATAATGCTTGCATAAATTATGCAAGTCAGAACACTTAGTTTGAATAAAATATTGAAATTTCAGCTTGATTCATAAAAATTATGTTAGCTCATTCAATTTCCTACAAATACATATCGTTTTGTATATGTTAATTAAACGCTTAATTTTTTATATTTCTGTGTGTATAAACTATGAGAATCTCCTCCTTCGTCTTTTTGGCACTGAAACTCCAAAAAGGCTCTATCTCCGGAGGGTTAACTACTCGTCCTGCCTTCCCCCCGAGCTAAACATGATGGAAGATAACAAAATAGACAGTCAAATAGAGGTATGTCCCAGTGTATCACCAGAGCAAAGGGGCTGAAAATAAAGAACTGTTCTCATCTGAATATTTTCTACTACTTTTGAGATCCACTCAGGATCACTCCCCCAGGCTTCCACATTCATCCCAACAGCCCTCATAGTCTTGTTGGCCTTGATCCTTCAAGCGACCTATAGCTGAAACAGCCCAGCAGGGGTCCAATCCTCTATCGTCATCCATTTTCAGGGAGGGTTGTGCAGGCAGGTGAGCTGTTACACTCCTTAAGGGGGTCGAGTCTTTTGTCATCAGTGTGAAAACAGAGCTGCCCTGCACTAATGTGGAGAAAGCACTTTACTGATGTCAACAAATGTAGCAAGGTAATAAATGATCTTATTACTTTCTCATGTGATCCTTTTACCTTCTGATATGAGCAATTTATCTTCCAGCATAAACACTTCACCGCTGATGTGATGATATTGCCTTCCCTAGCGATCTTATTGACTTCACTTAAAGATCATATTACCTTCCTGTGTAATCATATTCCCCTCTAATGTGATGACATTACCTTCCTATGGGATCATTGTATCTTCCTATGTAATCACATTACCTTCCTATGTAGTCATATTACCTTATTAAGTGATCATATAACCCTCCCAAGTCATATTATACCTATGTGATCATATTACTTTCCTATGTGATCATATTACCTTCCCTTATGATCACTTTACCATCCCATGGAATGATATTACCTTCTGGCTGTGCCTTCATTGTTCCCTCCTGGTCTGTTTTCTTCACCATGGTCCCATCCATTTCATCCTCATCTCCCTGTTTAAAAAGAGAAAAAAGGGAACAAAAATAAAATAACATTTTACAACAAAATTCTAGACTGTTGCTGGTTTTCAAATCTGGGACACACTGTTGACTGCTCTGCCAAGTCCTCCTGTGTGGGCTCCAAGGCCTTACTTATTTTAGGGTAGGGAAATTAGAATAGACCCACTGCCCCCAGAACAAGCATGCAGTGAAAGAAGACTAATTAAAGGTGGTTCCTTCAAAGTCGGACTGCCTCTGCCTAATAGGCCAGGAACCAATAGTCTGCATACAAATAAGCCGGATCTGTCAAAACAGAAGTGTCCGCACAACTCATCAGCGTCTGTGGCTTGGGCGTTGTGAGCGCGCTTCGTTATGCCGGGGTGACTGGTTTGATCCCAGGTGTAGACGGTTGTCTTGCAATGGTTTCGATAATGGTATCGAGAAGCTGACCATCCAGAAAGCTATGGCAAACTATTGGACGTAAACTTGCCTAGAAAACCCACAACAGCTACAAAATGCTGGGGTTGGTCCTGCAAAGGATACGCAACTAACTTACGCACAATTCAAGTTCTGGAGCAAGGCCAAAGTCCAGAAGTGGACGAACAACCTGCCGGAAGTTTACAGCCAGTGAATGCTAAGAAGAAGCTCTGTCAGGAGTAACAGAATCATCTCTGCTAGTATGGTTGTCTCTGAGCAGCTATAAATCATAAAAGTTATGAAGGGGCATACAGTAAAACAAAGGACTCCTATTCACTTTGGGCATAAAGTTTTCTTCTGCCCTTTACTCTCTCCTACCTTGTAGGCCCCCAACCAATGTAGGCTTCTTCTTGTGCCGTCTCTTTCCCAAATTATTCATATATGACTCCTCAATTTCTCTTGTCTATGTTTTTTTTTTTTGGGGGGGGGGGGGGGGGGGGCTTCTCCCTCTATTCTTTCTGCCATGTGCATTCCAAAGCAGCAAGGACACTCAAGATATACTTTTACACAGCAGCAACACACAGTAATACAGCTATGATAAAAGCAACATCAATAAAAACAGTAGCAGCAACAACAATGATAATAAAAACAGTAATGAGCAGGAAATGAGCAAGCCAATAGGCTTACAGGTAAGGCTATGGTGGCGGGCAAATAAGCAAAGGACCAGGCTGATTTGGTGAATGCTCTATGACAGGGCTATTCAACTAAGTTTATTCACGGGCCAAAATATTGAAAATGGGCCAGTGGCCCGAGCCCCAGTGTGAAGAATTTTAACACACTACAATAAAGAAAATTTTTCAGAGCATAATACACTCCAAAACTGTTACATTTGGGCCTAGCCTAATGTAATATAAATGAAACAGTGTTGTAAACTATTATAATGTAAAGTGTACTGCAATCTTTTATAACGATTAATTATTACCCAAGTTTAATTGAAATACACATATTTTTAACTTGTCGTTAGGATTTAAAATAATTATTAGCAGTGCCACTTCAACTGCATTGTCAGATTAATAATAATAATAATAACTGTCCACAGTTCGTTTCATATGGCTTTGTGCAGAAGAAAACCGAAAGTTATAGAGATACAAATTGTAAATAATGGGAAAAGTGTATATCCACAAGTTCTAACTACAGAGCACCTTCAACAATAGAGGATAACAGCTTTTTAGCATTTGAAGAAAAATCACCCGCAGGAAGGATTTTGAAAGGATCTCGAATGAATAACATTACATTGTTTGGGATATTGAGGACTTCAAATCTGTTGCTGAAATTATTCTGAAGCTTTTTAAAATAATTATATCATTCAAATGGTTATGGCAGAAATGAAATCTTTCAGGTTTGGAAAAAAATGAAGCCTGCTGTTTGGAGATCGATTACAAACAAAGGCAGCTTATCTCAAAAGGCATTCAATTTTTCAACCAGATCTATGATTGTCTTGTGTCTTCCTTGCAACTGCAAGTTAAGTGTGTTCAAGTGAGCAAACAAAGCGTTTAAAAAATGAAACATTTGCCCAAAAATGCACTTTTACTTAACACTCCCCTATACTTGTCTGCCTTGTTATGTGAAGTTTGAGAGAAAACAAACTATTTCTTCTTTCTTTTTCTTCTGCCTTTCTATTACCCCAATATTTCTTCTTTGATACTTTAAAAATGATCAAGTGCTTTACCTTTACTTAGCCAACAAACGTCATTGTGCAGAAGCAAGTCTTTGTAATCTGCTTCTGTTTCTTCAAGTAACTGCTGAAATAACGTGTGCTGAAGATGATGAGGATATATTTGTAGTTGTTTTTTTCTCGTCGCTCAGTTTGCTACACTTAACACTTTGATGTATAAGACAATGTAGCGACTGCATCTAAGGTGCTACTGCAGAAAGTCGGGCGGTCACACCTTGGTGCTTACCAAATAAATATTGATGCGCCCAATATGTTCCCAATAAAATATTTTTATTCAGATCAAAACCATTTTCTGTGAAAAATAACTCAATCCTGTCAGAAATAACTTCTCCAGTGGTGACATTTTTTTAATGCTATCAAAGCTAGCAGTTCTTTATGAAAACTGTTTCCATTGAAAAAAAAAAACACACATATAAACGTAACTGAGCCGCGCCTATGATGTCTGTAGATTCGTCAATGGCAACTGACAAAAATTCTGCCTGCTTTGTGCTTTCAATAAAAGATTCAAAAACTTCAGTTCCTAAAATTGTGATTCTGTCTATCGTCGAAGTATCCAACAGGGATTTTCTGAACTGCATCTGCTATGCTTGTAATTTTAAAAAAAAAATCATCAACTGCTATTTCGTCCAGAATTGCTAGTATGCATTCTTTCACGATTTCTGAGTCAGTGAAAAGCCGCTTCTTTTTGGCTAATACCCATGAAATATGCAAAGAAGCCACTGTAGCTTTTTCTTGTTGAGCACAAGCTCACACAAGAATTCTGCTGCTATGTTGATAAGCAGCAATCAAAGACTCAATCTTTGATTTTCTAGCAGTGAATCCTTCTGGATAGGATTTTCCAAAATCGGCATGTTTTGTTGTAAAATGCGGCTTCACCTTGAACTTCTTTACTGCTGTAATGACCCTGCTTTGCATGGTCCTCACGATTACATAGTGGCAAGCAGAAAGTCCGTGCAACAAGGGACAGCACGAGATACTTGTGCCTAGTCGAGGAAGCGAGGGAAAGCCTGAGCTAGACTCGTGGTCAGTCGATCATCAGAAGTCAGAGAAGACGGTTGTAGTATTTGAAGATGTCGTCTTTATGTTGCGCAAATGTTTAATGTTCGAATATGTCGCGAGTGATAAAGTGTGAATAATGTTTGAACATGTGGAATAAATGGACCAGAATAAACTGACAGAATGTACCAAGAAGCTGAGCGGCGTTTGTGTTGTCAACTCTAGACGTTAAAGCAGTGCAAGTTGTGTAGCAGTAACATCCAGAGAGTGAGCCGTGGCTAAAGCCAATAAGTAGTAAGCCAAAGCGCAGTCCAAGTCATTTCCAAGGTTTATTACAAATGGAGGCTCGTCCGAAGAAAATTTGAGAACCACACGGACCACAATCATTAGGAAAACATCTTTGTTTTTTCCAAGGTAAGACCAAACATGCGGAAAACAGTGTACGATACATCGCTTTAACCCGAGCAGAGCCTTTAAACACAGCAAGCTGCGACAGGTCAGCTGCCAACCAATGAAAAACAGTGTACCATGGAACACACGCGAACATAGTTGTGTGTCATCAACGTCCTGCCTGCCACACACACATCGTATTACCAAGGTTTGTGGATTCAAGAAGTTTCATGTTCACCAGTGCCACACATCAGAAATATGTTAAATCTAGTTTATGAATTAAATCAGGTTTGTGACCATTATTGTTTTGCGGAAACTAGCGGACTATGAACTAATTTTATTTACAGTTACGATCAGTTTTCTTACTACCGTGACATTTTTTGCATCGATTGTGCATTTATCAGAATGGCATCTAAAAGGTTGGTAAAAAGTAAGAACACTTTGTCGCAAGTATCTTCAGCGACAACAATGAAAGATACATCAATAAGTAACCACAAGATCAAGATGTGCATTTTTTGTAAGTACCAGCACAGTTCTTCAACTATCTGCGACAGAGATCCTAAATATTCAAGTTATATTGAAGACTTGGTCAATAAAAAGTGGCAAAATAAACAAAAGAATAACTTTCCTTAAAAAGTGCCACTTCTGTAATGCATTCGGACATATTGTAAAACACTGTGTTGGGAAACAGATGTTAAAAGACAAGAAAAGATCCTTGTTTGCAAAAACTAATTCAGTTAAAATGGATTCAGAAGGTACGTCACCTACTCTAGATTGTGCAGTATGCGACTGGAGGAAAAAACAGGGAAAAACAACAGAGCCACATACAATTTGGATAGGAACATACCAGATAATATGTCCAGGAACTAAAAAGGTAAAGAACGAAATCATCATTGCAGAATTAGAATCCAGCAAAAGAAATACAAGCAAGAAAGTTGAAGGGGAAAAGACAGCAGCTACTGAAACAGCGAGCAAGTCAAATTTAAAAACCGTGGACCTTAGTCAGCAAACACAAATTTTTCCAGAAATGAAATCATCTGAATCGGCTAAGAATCACAATCAAGGAAAAAGTGAATTGCAAACTCAATGTATGAAACAGCCAGATTGTGAAATACCACTGGATAGACAAGCCATGAATAAAGAATTTTCATTCTTAGAGGACAATAAATATATAGATTATGATCAATTCCACATAGCAACAAGTAAAAAATATCGTGAAAAGTCAACTAAATGTTTGATAAACAACAAACCAGCACAAATGCAATTAAATAAAAAATCAAATATCACTTTGGTTCGTGAAAAATTTATAGAAAAATCAGATTTAACCGAAGACATGATTTACTGTTTAGACAGAGAAGATTTTTTGATGCGATTACGGACAGCTTATATTTATTTGAAGTCGCCCTATATATCAAAACCATTGAAAGTACTGGTAACGAACGATATCGGAACAGATCTGATTCTGGGATACAAAGACTTCAACATTAGAGACTGTTCTGATGAAGATATAAGAGTCTGGGAACAAAGTCATCTCCATCAACAAAAATAACAGCTGATTCAAGGAAAATTACCATCTTTATTTATCAACTGAAGTATCACTATTTACTGACTTGAAACCATACAGTCCATCATCCTGAACATCATCAATTTAACATATCACCATGCAAGAAGTTCAATATCATGTCAAGAAGCTACATAGAACCACCTTCAACCAAACAATCAAGAGTAAACCTGAACAATCATCTTGGACATTTTACCATTCTTCATCTTCAAGATTATCATATTTCAATCAAAATCAGAAATCACCAACTAGTACTGTACAGTGAATGAACAGAACCATATCAGCCACTGAATTATTCAAATTTGAAAATCATTATCAAGGAACAGAAATTGTTTTTTCTCCAGACACCTCAAAATCAACGATTGAAACATCTCAAAATCAGCAAATTCTAAGCGACATGTCAAGATCATCTATACAATATCAAGATCGTCGAATACCAAACGTATCATAAAATAAAGAATGCGAGAATAATGAAGCATTCCGACTGTCTAAACGCAATCAAGAACAACAAAAAACGTCAGTATTACATCGTGTTTACACAATTGTGATAGCTACTGTGAAAGTTAGATTATGTTACATACCTAAAGTTTTGTGTAAATAAATATCAAATTAATGAAGTATGTTAAAAAAGTGCATAAACACCTGATTTCATTTATAAAAAACAGCCATATACTGTGTGTATTGAACACCTTCCGTTTAATCCCATTACTAATTATTTTAAAGGTGGCATATCAGTGTATGCAGTCACTGAACACTGTTAATAGTATTGTGTTAACTTATAAAATTATAATATTTTTAGTCAGTATATTTGCAAGATTACCAGCTATCCTACCATGAAAGACCCAAGAGCAGAACAGACTGTCGAGGGAACCAAGGAATGAGAACCTGGAAAGCAAGCGTCAGAGTACAAGCAAGACATACACAGCCTGCAGGGATGGATCAAGATCAAGGATAGTTAATGGAATGAATGGGAATGAAAGAGAATAAAACAGGTATGAATGATGAATGAAAGATTTGTGGGTAGTATTTTAATAATGTACATATTTACTTAGGTTAGTAGTTCATTAGGATTATTTTAGGATTCATGTAATGACATTAGTTCAAAAGTTAGGAAAAAAAAAAAAAAAAAAAAATCTCTCTCCCCAGGAACAGCACAGAAGAATTAGATCAAGATTTAGCGATAGATCATATAGAAATCTTTTTCCACAGAATGACTTTGATAAAAATATTTAATTTGAAATGTTTTGGCATAGGTACACAGCACAGGGACATGCTAAAGTTGTCCATCACACCCAAGATTAGGAACGGCTATTGTTATACTGATGCTGAATAGACATACTGATGGTAAAGAAAAAGTGCACACATCAAAGCACAAGCACAGTAGAGGAGTTGAACTCATCTGTATCCATTTAAAGGGGGAAAAGGTGTGTGGGATTCCTTGGAGTTGAATACTCTGTTAAAGGTGATGTAGAGACTGGTGGGGAAACCCTAAACTCTATTAAAAAACCATCCCAATAGTCATCATTTCATCTGAGATTCCTTGGAGTTGAATACTCTGTTAAAAGTGGTTATAGACTTGGAGGAAACTCTAAGATCTATGAAAAATATATCTCAGCTATCATTGTTTTCATGTTGGATTCCTTGGGGTTGGGTAATTACCCTGTAAAAGGTGAGACTTTGGTCTATGAAAATATATCTCAACATGCATTTTTTTTTCTGTGGTAGATTCCTTGGGGTTGGGTAATTACCCTGTAAAAGGTGTTATAGGGGCTTTTGGGAAACTAGAAGCACTATGATAAATATATCTCACCACTATCATATCGGCTAAGAGTCCTTGGGGTTTAACACCCTGTGAAAGGTGATGTAGAAGTATTGGTTAAATCCAATTTTCTATGTAGTAAATATCTCAAAGCTGACAATCATCTCACCACTATCATATCGGCTAAGAGTCCTTGGGGTTTAACACCCTGTAAAAGGTGATGTAGAAATATTGGTTGAATCCATTTTTCTATGCAGTAAATATCTCAAAGCTGACAATCATCATCATTATCATTATTTCACTTTGAACCTGATAGATTAGATATAGTGACTAAACAATACTACAGATGCAATAGGTGTAAAGATGGTATAAACTCTTCACCAGCTCAGTACAGGGAAAGCATGCAGTAAATACTAAAAGCAGTTTTAAAGGGCAGTAATTAAGGATAGTCAGGAACTATAATTCCTAGCAGTAATACATTTAAATTGATTTATTATTCCTGTAGTAAATATATCAAAGTTGACCATTATCATCACCATCATCACACTGATCATTTCACTTGAACCTGATAGAATAGATATAGTGACGAAGCTATACTACAGTTGCAATACGTGCAAAGATAGATACCCTTCACCAGTTTAGTACTAGAAAAAGCATACAGTAGAAAATTAAAATAAGGGCAGGATTTTAGGCTAATTAGGAACACTAATCCCAAATAGCGAAGTTAGATTTTAGAGCCATTGATTCATTTAAAAGTTGAATGGAAAATGATACTTGATGTTCCATAAAGTATCATTTTGTTAAAAGGCGGGAGGATGTAATGACCCTGCTTTGCATGGTCCTCACGATTACATAGTGGCAAGCAGAAAGTCCGTGCAACAAGGGACAGCACGAGATACTTGTGCCTAGTCGAGGAAGCGAGGGAAAGCCTGAGCTAGACTCGTGGTCAGTCGATCATCAGAAGTCAGAGAAGACGGTTGTAGTATTTGAAGATGTCGTCTTTATGTTGCGCAAATGTTTAATGTTCGAATATGTCGCGAGTGATAAAGTGTGAATAATGTTTGAACATGTGGAATAAATGGACCAGAATAAACTGACAGAATGTACCAAGAAGCTGAGCGGCGTTTGTGTTGTCAACTCTAGACGTTAAAGCAGTGCAAGTTGTGTAGCAGTAACATCCAGAGAGTGAGCCGTGGCTAAAGCCAATAAGTAGTAAGCCAAAGCGCAGTCCAAGTCATTTCCAAGGTTTATTACAACTGCCGACACGCATTCGTTGCATAGCAAGCACATTGGTTTCGAATTAGGCATAGTTGGTGATATAAATAAATATTTAAGTGTCCAGTCGTCGTCAAATGCATGATTTTCACATTCCCACTTTGCTCTCTTACTAGTACCAGCCATGGCATCAAGTATTTAACTAAATTATTAAAAGTAGGTCGTTTAAAACACAGTTACTGATTCAGTTTGTTACTACACAATCGCGTCTGGAAATCTATGTCTGGCTGTGACTTGTGTGTGTGACTGGACGTTTACGAAAAATCTGATTACAAGATCACTAGCAGATGTTCTGCGGTGTCCAGTGTGACTAAAATGTTCTACTGCACCCAATGTCATTAGTCTGTGTGTACTAGTGGTCACATTTAGGAGAGTTTCTTTGTAATGTAAGCGCTAATTGTCAGGACCATTCTGGTATTTTCATACACCCTCCTGTCCAATAAATTTCTCACCTTCACTGACTGTCAAGTGAAGCGTTTGTTTCCTATCGGTTACTTGATTTTTTTTTCCAGCCTATCTTATTAACTTTGGCTTCCAAAAGGCGAGTTCTGCAATTGGAACTCACTTATACCGTGAACTAATTTCATTTTCTGTTCCCTTGTATCTCCGCATTTAGAGATCCCAGATAAAAATGTCCCATTGACACATTTGACACAACTGGTTTTTGAAGACTTTTACAAAAATATTGACGGATTTAAATTTCTATTTTTTATAACTATGTATATTTATTTCACTGTTATGGCAACGATAGGTGTGCCACTTGCTAGGCCTCCGCAGGCCAACAATTGAAAAACCCTGCTCTAAAAGAAGTAAGATTGTGAGAACCAGGTGATAAATGTCAATCTGCAACCATGATCAGACTGCAAGAGCGGTAAGTTAAAATGAGTGTTTGTCCAGAGTGGAGCATTATGTAGGAAGCCGAAAATGATTAACAACAATGGCCACAACAATAACATGATGGACACAACAACAATACAAGCCCTCTGACTCACCGAATCATCACCATTGACCATAATATTAGCCTGGGCCTCTAGGATCTCCTTGGCTTCCAGGATCATGTTGTTTAGTACAGAACATGGTTCTCTGTTTTTGATGAAATCATGCTGAAATAAAGAACACTGAGACTTTACAACAGGAAGACTGTAACAGAACATCAACAAAATAAAGAATATTTCATTCCACCTTCTGGAGGCACGCTCTACCAGATTTCATGGTCATAAAGAACACATCCCTGCACCTTATGCAAAGGATTCTTCATCTTTTTTTGTTTGCAACTCTCTGGCTCCGAGATGTAGCTAACATCGAATTTTTATTTACCGCCCCTAATAATTTCCGAAAAGCCAGTTAACTGGCATTTTACACTGGCCAGTCCCCGACAAGCCTGCTGAACGGATGTGATGATACATTTTGAATTGCAGCTCATGGTCAAAACAAGCCAGGCAGAAATCGGGTGCAAGTTACATGCAGCAGGAATACCCAAGACCGAAGAGACAAATGAGGAAAGATGAGAGGTGCAGCCTGCACAAAGGAAATATTCATCAATAATTGTTAATTAAATAACTCCTATTATGTCGTGTGGTCATCATGACGACACAGATATGAAACATAAAGCCCTCGGAGAACCCTCAGTTTGACATGTAAATGATATGTATAGGAGTTGGCTGTGATGGCTAGGAACATATATAAGTTGGGAAATTGTGCTGATGTTGATATAAGGACCAGCTACACAAAAGCCGAAAGAAGTTACAGAAGGACATTAGTGTTAGTCTGTCTTATGCTGTGAAGTACTTGTAACTGCTGCCATTCAAATGTCTGGTTTATCCTGCCTGGTGCTGTAGGACAAGCTGATGCTAATCCAAAGTGTTCTAACCCTAGATGAGCTGACGCTTCTTTAGCAGTTGGCAAGTGGTATACACAAATACAGAGGGTATACAAATCATCAAGTAGGGGAACAGCATAAGTTCTGTTTCTAAAAGTCTGCCCTAGACTTGAGTCCAAAAGGAACAGAATAATAAGGAGGAGAAAAAGGAAGAAAATAAGGAAAAGGAGAAGAATGAGAAGAAAAGAATAAGAAGGAGCAGAAGAAGAAATAGAAGGACAAGAAGAAGAATGAGAAAAATTTGGAGAGGTAGAAGGATGAGAAAAAAAAGAAAGAGGAGAAGAACGATGAAAAAAAAAAGGATGAGAACAAGGACGAGAAGACCAACAGCAAAGACAACTGTGTATAACTTACATCTAGAAGTTCTGCAGCCGTGGCTCGATTCTCTGGATTTTTTACTAAACATTTTGAAACAAAGTCTATGAACTCAGGTGACCACCGGTCAGGTTTTCTGAAAGACGGTGGTGGCTTTGTGGGTATCATAAATATAGCCTGCAAGAGGACACAAAGATATAAGAATTATTGACTACCTGGTATTACAGATCAAACATCAGATGATATTATATACAAAAGCAAATACCAGCAGACATTACAAATAGCAGATATCACAAAATCCAGAAGACATCACAAATACCAGCGGAAATCACAAATACCAGCTGATATAAAAAATTTCAGCTGACATTACAAATTCCCAGCTGACACCACAAATTCCCAGCTGACACCGCAAATACCAGCTGACACCGCAAATCCCAGGTGACACCACAAATCCCAGGTGACACCACAAATCCCAGGTGACACCACAAATCCCAGGTGACACCACAAATTCCCAGCTGACACCACAAATTCCCAGCTGACACTGCAAATCCCAGGTGACACTGTAAATCCCAGGTGACACCGCAAATTCCAGGTGACACTGCAAATACCAGGTGACACCGCAAATCCCAGCACCAGGTGACACCACAAATACCAGGTGACATCACAAATACCAGGTGACACCACAAATCCCAGCTGACACCACAAATCCCAGCTGACACCACAAATCCCAGCCGACACCACAAATCCCAGGTGACACCACAAATACCAGGTGACACCACAAATACCAGGTGACACCACAAATACCAGGTGACACCACAAATACCAGGTGACACCACAAATACCAGGTGACACCGCAAATCCCAGGTGACACCGCAAATCCCAGGTGACACCACAAATCCCAGGTGACACCGCAAATCCCAGGTGACACCACAAATACCAGCTGACACCACAAATACCAGGTGACACCACAAATACCAGCTGACATCATAGATTACAGTAACAAAATTCAGTTAACATTATGAAACACAAACTACAATCAATAGACAATCGACAATACCAACACACTAAAGATGAATTTACATTACAAACACAAGCTGATATTACAAACATTTGTTAAAATCACATACATCATCAAACACCAGCTGAGATTACAACATCATTAAACACCAGCTGACATCATACAAATACATATGGCACAGCAAACATCACCTCAGACTACAAACTCAGCCATGCTGTACCGATGACCACATCAAACACAAGCATATCACAGACCAGCTCTGTTATTATAGTGAAAACACAACACGATAAAGCAAGCAACACAAATAAAAGATAAGCAACATACCCGCATAGGATGAATATCACCATATGGAGGTTTGCCTTCAGCCATCTCCAACGCTGTTATACCTACAAATAAGCAGGAGTGAACACCAGGATCATTGAGTTAAACATATGTAATTGATTCCTCTCCACAACAAACAAAAATAACATTTTCTGTTTCTGAGGACAGCTTTTATCAAGTTTGCTCTCTAGATAGTTTACCACCTTCCCACCCCCCGACCGGTAGCGAGATTCTGTCTTCCCTGATAGTCGGCTGCCGTGATCAAAACACTGCAAGCACAGCTTGGTCGAGGTTGTCAAATATACTGGTCATCATCCTGCTCTGCTGCTTTTGGAAGGATGAGGCAAATCTGGAAATCCAACAGTTACTGCAGAGGAACAAAACTTCAACTCTACAGGAGCATCATTTTGACAGTTCTTCCTTATGGAGAGGAATGCTGGAGAATGACCAAAAGGGATGCACACGAGCTATACCTTCCACCACACATGTCAATGTAGAATTTTCAAACTTTTCTGGTCAGATACAATCTCAAACACTAAACTATTTCAAGTCACAAACCAAAAAAACTCTTAAATAGTATGATAACCAAGAGAAGATGGAAATGGCTTGGCCATTATGAGAATGAATCCTGATATGCCTGCCAAAATAGCTCAAATGGATACCAGAGGGAAAGAGAAAAATGGGGCGCCCAAAACAACATGGAGAGTGACCAGAATGTGGCATCTCTGACATGGAAAACTGCACTAAAGATTGCACAGGACAGGGAAGCATGGAAAGTACTCTCTGAAGCCTTATGTGCCACTAAGCATAAAGAGAACTAATGATGATGATAATCCTGCTCTGAAATAGCACAACCACAACATATACTGCTCCCACATACACACAGCATCCTGAGTTGGAAATATGCATGAAATCATCTCTGAAATCAATCAATCAATCAGTCATGTGCTGTCTCCACAATGACGGTTGGCTGCAATGGATCACAAAACACTCTGTCTTTCTTGTTAAACACTCCAGGAGACTGCAGTTCACCCATCTCTTGAACATATGAGTTTAAAATACAAGGCAATAAAAGTAAAAAAGAAAGTAAAGGTCCATTTTCCACGCCTTTAGGCATATAGGGCTAGACCTATATTTTTATAGGCCAATCGGCACAAGCTGGGTGATGTGGTCAGCATCACGCCGGTCGTTTTTACTTCCTGGGACTGCACCCGGTACCCACTCAAGGCTGGGTCGACATAGGAGTCAAGGTTCTTTTTTAAAAAAGTCTGGCTTTGCCAAGGAGCGAACCCACGACCTTCCGATCCGCACGCAAGCATCTAGCCGGTATGTCACGGCGACTCCCATACAAGGCAATTACAGGATAATAATCTTCCACTTCTGCAACTGCCCTGCATGTATTGTTGTGGTCTACAGACATGCTGTGATATCTACACCTTTCTGCTCAACATCCAATTTCAACACACTCCTAATTAACTGTCTTTTATGACATGCTTGTTGGATGGGGGGAGGGGGGGGGGGCGCAGTAGGTCTATTCATCCCCTACCCCACAAGTTAATCAAGAAAAAGAAGAAAATGTTTCAAACTCCTGGTAATAACAAAAAAATAATTGTGTTTAAAGTACAACACTGTTGCATCCAAAGACAAATATATTCACCACTAATCACCTACAGCAGAAGAACATCTGGGCGGAAGGCGAGAGGAAGACGAAGGAAGAGAGGGATTGATGGTGCACTTGCATCCTGCAGATCATAACCATCACTGAAGCCCCCCGGGAAGCTCAAGAGAAACACCTGGAAAACTTGAGACTGGGCTACAACCTGGTAACAATGTGATGACATAAGAGTGAAGACAACAGAAAACAATAATCACCAACCTAGACTCCAGATATCGGCCACACAGTCGTACCCAATCTCCTGTATCACTTCTGGTGCCATCCAGTAAGGGGTGCCTATCACAGTGTTCCTCTTTGCCATTGTATCCTGCAAAACAACACCACCAGAATGTAGATTTCTCTTGATTTGCAAATCACAGCAAATTCACTTGTTAACTTATATAGTATACCAGTGCATTTAGAAGTGATTAGTGATTAGAAAGGTATATCATCACAGCACTCCGGACATATCCATAGGTGCTCCGATCTCCTCCTTAAAAGCTCTTCAAGTGTAAAATGACTGATGACGCCTGTTCTGTGTTGGTTATTAAAACGTCTTGTCCCCTTAGTGAAATGTTCATTTCTTGAAACTCCAGGCTGCACCCCCATGTCCATCAGTCTAGACAGGGATACGGACTCATGTCCTTTGGCGTGCTCCTCGGTACGTTAAGTGCAGCGCATAGCATTGATAACATCATTTCTGTTCAGTACTGGGCCAGCCATAGCAATCACAGTGTCAGCAAGATAGTCTGCACGCTCGTTCCTTTGAACTCCCGCATGACCTAGCACAAAGATGAAAGTTAAGGCAGCTATTCGTGGTGCTTAATTTTGCAATCCATTCTTGCTTAGAAGTCTCTGTGGTTATGGTGTCTGGATCATATTCTGAAGGTTGTGGTTGTTTAATTTACTGCATCGTTCCCTTTATCTTCTGCCTGTTATGCTTCAATGGGGCAGAGACCCTCAACCAACTCAAACTAGCCATCATATGCTTCTGCTAATGCATGCACCCCATCTCCTCTTACGTTTTAAACTTCCCTCTTAAGTTTTATTCTTCGTGTGTTTTGGTTTGCTTTGATTTCTATTCCCTGTTGGTTCCAGTGTAAAGACATTCTAGTTATACTGTTCTCATGGTTTCTCAACTTTTGCCCTATCCATGGCCAGCATCTGTTTGTCACCTCTTGATTCACTGGAATTCATTTAGTTCTCTCCCAGAATGTTGCTTGGTTCATGGGTGCAATTTTTACAGAGATCCATGGAGACTGTCATTGGAGCTATCTGGTATGTACAGCAGAACCTCAGGATACAAATGTAATCCATTCCATGCTTACAGGGAATAACTCATATCCTGAAACTATTTTCACATTTCAATTAATGTAAATAATTGTAGGTGCTTTATTAATATCCTACCCCAGATGATGTCACAAGGCAGTCCAATATTTTAGAGGGTGGTAAGACTGGGTTTCCCAGCTTTCTTATGCTTTTAATGACCCCAAAACATCTAGAACTGGCCCTAACCCCAACCCAACTACCTCCCACGAGAGAGTGCAGACTAGGTCCCACATCTGCATGTAGCCTATCTACAACACCCTGAAATATTAGACTGTCCCGTGACAAGTGGATTTCCACTGTTTGGGGTAGGAAATTAATAAAGCACCTAATTTCAAATTATTCCAGCTCTCCAAAAAGTACCCTATCAGTTTCAAAATGACGTTTTTAGTTTTGTTAACTGGGCAAATGTGTCAGTGCTGTTCTGTTATAGCTGGCAGCAGAAAACGGCATTATTTCTGACTGTTTGCTCCTGTCCATCAACATCAAGTGTCTTGTTGACTGGTTTAAGTTCTCTTTCAGCAATGTAAACGTGACCTAATTCCTTTCAAAGTTATTCAAATGCTGTAGGATAAAGCCGAGAGTCCTCTCCAGCTCATGCTCTGGATTTCTCCTCATATTCTGGAGCACACACACACACAAATGGGCAAGACTGACCTCAAATCCTGAAACACTTGTATGCAGGTACACTTATTATTCTGAGGTTTCCATGACACTTTGTAAGACCACCTTGGCAGGTATGCGAGAGAGAACAAGCCAAATGGGATAAAACCTGGTGTAATAAAGACGATCCTCTCGGCTTTAAACCTTTTAATGCTGCATGGAAAAATACAGGAAGAAGATAAGAAGTAAGCACTTACTGTTAACTGTCCAGCTACACCAAAGTCAGCCAGCTTGGCATGTCCTTCTGTGTTCAATAAAATATTTCCTGCTTTGATGTCCCGATGGATTTTTCGCCGAGAATGGAGATACTCCAGGCCCTTGAGTGTGTAGTATAAGATTGTTGAGATTTCGTCTTCTGTGAGCTGATGAGAGAAACAATGCTGGTATTGAAAACTCTGTGTAGTGTGTGTATATATGCACCCAACTTGCTGTGTATTTCTCCATGTATGTATGTGTTATGTATGTATGTATGTATGTACATGTGCACGCAAAAATAAAACAACCTTTTCCACACCTTCAGACATACTCAGTTTATAGTGCTAGACCTATTTTTTTAATCGGCACTTCGTGGGTGATGTGGTCAAAATCAGTGCCCGCCGCCTTTACTTCTCAGGAATTTATCTGCCACCCACTTAAGGCTGGGTCAACCTGGGAGCCAAGGTCATTTTTCAAAAACAAAAAGGTCCGGATTTGATTTGATTCCCTACCTTTGGATCCGCAGGCGAGTATCTCCCCACTATACCATGGTGCGCCCCCTTACATATGTATCACACTTTTCCATACATAAGATGCCTTCATGTATAGTTAGTTAGTTAGTCTTTCCTCTCGTGTCGAGTGCGGCACATAGGGCAGAGGTCATGGCTCTCCATGCATGGTGGTTCGTTGCAATCTGTTGTAGGTCTTGGATGTTTGAGTGGCCCATGAGCGAGCCTTCCCTGATGATAGTTCTACGTAGAGTTTCCCTTGGTCTTCCACGAGATCTTTTCCACTGTGGTGTCCAAATGAGGATTACCGGTTTGTGTCAAGATGGCGGGACGTGTTTCTCTCTAGCTCGGCGCATATCGGTTGATCGACGGTCTGACAAGCTGTCATCGCAAACCACCAATTGTTGTAGAATCAGATTTGTGGCTCTAACTTCATGTATAAGACAACCCTTATTGTTTTTAGCCCCAAATTAAGACAAAGAAAATTTCTGAAACAATTTGTATGCATAAGTGACCCCGATTGTAAACTGTAAGAATGTGGGAAAACATACTGTCTTATACATGGAAAAATACAGTATACACAGCATACCAACACAAGAGGGGATTTTCCCTAACCAAGTGGTAAAGATGTCTGAAGATCGTGGGCTTGTTTTAAGGAAGGTGCAGTTTAGTACACAAGTCCAATTTTGATAGCGATGCATGGGGATCATCACTTCAATAGGTACACATGAACTGATAAAACAAGGACGTCCAAAAGAAACTCTAAGCTGGATGTTGATGAGAAATGCCAAAGGTGCTGGACAGAATTCCATTTATATTTTAACAACTGAATGGAAAGAGAATGGAAAGAAAAATAAACTGTGAGCCCTCTGTAACATATAACGGCATCATGGCGATGATGCTGGGGATCGTCTCTGGAACTACAGAGTTCATGCTGTGTGCAACACCTCTGACATGTTGTTAGACATTCTGTGCAGCCATACAGGATAAAACCTAGTGTAATGAAACTGATCTCTACTTAAGAACCATTTTTCAACATGTGGTGTAATACAGACATTAGTTATTTGTAGAAAAATACTAGGCAAGAGAGACTCATTTTTCTTCTTCTTCATCTTCGTGTTCACTGGCTGTAGGCCCCAGTGGAAAGTTCTGGCTGTTAGTCTATTCCTAGACTTTTGTCGTGTTCCGGAACTTCTGAGTTTTGCGTGCACATCAATTTTTCAAATCCAGCCTATTTGCAAGTAGACTGTTGATTTCTCGTCTCTTGGGCAGATGCACCACGAAGAAAACACCCTTAGTCAACTTTCATGACATGTTTGTTGGGGAAGCAGTGAGTCTATCCCCCCCCCCCCCAAAGGGCCCCAGAACCCACACGGGAAAGCAAGAGAGACAATGGATAAGAAAAGTAGAATTTAAACAGATGGACAACAAATAATAAAAGATCAAGTAAAAAATGACAGAGAGAAGCGGAGAGTTAAATTTCTGATGACACAATTTGTATATCATTCTCACTGTGTTGTGTGAACCCAGCTTCACTTAGGGGATAGCAGACAACTGTCAGAATTCTCTGCCTTAGATAGATGGGCTAGCACAACAAATAAGGGACTTACTGTTTTGTTTCTTAACCTCATGATGTCCGACACAGACCCAGCACCACAATATTCCATAACAATCTGAAACATTTACAAGTGTATTAAGCAGTCCTATAAAAACATAAACACAAAAATTACAAGATGCGAGATGAGATGTATGAGAAATGCAGCAGAAAAACCAAGAAGAGACAGTGTCACCAATGAAGAATAAAGAACAACAGTAAGCACAGTACTGGTGAATGATTTCACAGAACATCAAAGAATCAAATGATTTGGTCACCTCGTCAGAACGGAACAAAATCAGCCAATAGCTACAGCATATTACATGAAACGACAGACTACAATGCAAGAGATGAGTGGAGGGAGTAAAAAAGACTACAGAAAGTCAATACGACATGAACACAAACTACACAAATAGCAAAAGACAGGAAACTACATATAACTCCTCTCCGCGACGCTCAGTGGCATAAGCAGTAGGATAAAAGAAAAAGTATTCAACAATGAACACTTCTGTGGACTGGACCAGACAGGGCAACAAAAGTCAAGACTACAAAGAGCATAAATATTTCCTGTGTCAACAACATACCAGTTCAAAAACTTAAAAACAAATTTCCCAAATAACATCGAGAAAAATAAAGTATTCTGGGAATGTATAAAAGGGTTTCCTTCCTCTTCCTCACCGGCTGTGAATTCCGGCGGTAAGTCGCGGTTGTTCGTCCAAATGGACTTTTGGCTTTTACCTTGACCTGAGTTTTGCGTGTACATCCGTTTTTCTGGCTTATTTGTTTGCAGTTCTCATTCCCCGCCTCTCCGGCAGATGTACTCCGACTTCGAGGAAAATAAGAGGGTTTCATTTTGTTCTTGTTTTTAGTGAAAAGCATGTGGCTGTTTACAACAAAGCTGTGATATTTGCATCTTTTGGCCAAAACAAAGTACAGTAATTGAACAAACTTTACCCAATCCCTGTAGGCTTCTGGAGAGCTACCCCAACCCAAGTAATCCCCAAGACAGTAGCTAAATAGACTCTCCAAACCACAGCAGCCCAAGAGATGGCAGCTAAACACACTTGCCCACAAACAGAACAGCAGTTAAACAACTTTCCACAACCCCAGCAGCCCCCAGGACAGAAGTTAAACAAACTTCCCCTACTCAAGTAACCCACACAGCAGCAGTTAAATGAACCTCCTAAACTCCAGCTACTCACATAACAGCAGTCAAACAAACCTCCCCAACCCAGCAACTCACATAACAGCAGTCAAACAAACCTCCCCAACCCCAGCAACTCACATAAAAGCAGTCAAACATACCTCCCTAGCAGCCCATAAAACAATAGTCAAACTTCCCCAAACCCCAGCAGCCTATAAAACAACAGTCAAACAAACTTACCCAGAGATCTGTGTTCTTGAAATAACTCCCATAATATTTGACAATATATGTGGAGTCACACTGCTGCATGATGGAAATCTCCTTGATGATCTCCTGCAGGTCAGTGTCCACCGGGACTTGCTTGATGGCCAATACCTGGCCAGTTTCCTTGTGTAGGGCCTTGTACACGCTTCCATAGGAGCTGTGGTCATAAATAAGGACAGAGGCCGGTTTCAAGATATGCAGAATAAAACAAGAAATTGTTAAAAGTTCAAATCAGTAGCTAACAGTTGTGCATTAAAACACGTTTTAAATCTAAGATCCCCCCACCCCCCATGTGGATTCAAAGGCCCCATCGTGGGGGGAAAGAAGAACAAACCCCACTGCCTCCCTAACAAGTGTGTCGTAGAGTCTACTAACTGGAGGCTTCCTTTGAGTCAGAGTGCATCAGCCTGAGAACAAACAATCTGCATACAAATAAGTCAGATCTGTAAAATGGATGTGCATGCAACACTCAGGTTCTGGAACAAGACTCTAGTCCAGATGTGGATGAACAACCAGAATTTTCCACCAGAGATTACACCCGGTGAACCCAAAAAAAGAAATCTATGACTAACAGAACAATTAGCAGAAGTACCATAGGGTGGCTGCTGCAGCAGAGGACTGAGCATGCTTGGGGATGCCCAATGTGCAGTGACATAATTGTGATAACATAACATTTGACTAACATATTTCCAGTTGGTGACTCCCAAGTGTCTGCAGGTATATTACCTCTCTATTACCTTCTTGGTCAGCCTCTCTGTCTACTCCCACTCAACTTCTTTGTGTGTGCAGTTTTTGTCTCTGTTTTCTGGCATAATCTCCTTAGGCCCCAAGTAATAGGGCCTTTTGGGCTATTTATGAGTGACCAAGCGGCACTCAGTGGATGTTGAGGACAACATTATACTGGCCGCCTTAACTTCTTATGACTTCACCTGGTACCCATGTTAGGTTTGGTCAACCTAGGAGCCAAGGCCACTTAAAAAAAATTCTGGCTCCGTCAGAAATTGAACTCACGACCTTCAGATCCACAGGCAAGCGTCTAGCTGAGACACCATGACGGCTCCCATAGGCACCAAGAACTGCACCATATTATGTCCATAAGAAAATCACGCCAGTCGCAAACGAAACACAAAAGATTTGATATTGGCAACAAAATTATTAAGTTGGGAAAACGGCAACAGGTTTTGAGTTTTAGAGACGAAGAGAAGGCATAAGGTGTATAAAGTATTCAGTTATTACTGGTACACTTTTTTTAGTCAGGTAGCATGCAAGCAACAATCACGGCAAATAAATAAATGTGAAAAAAGGTCTTACTTACCCTCTGCCGATTTTACAAATAATATCAAATACTTCATCTGGTTGTTTGGCCAGATTATCATCACTGAGACGCTTCAATTCACTGCAAGGAAAAAAACATGAATTATTAACATTATGAAAAAAAAAATAACTGTCTAGTTTTGTTTTCCTCTTTCATAACCTTTAATGAAAATATGACATTAGTAAGATTCACTGGACTGGAGTCTGCTGATAATGTCAGTTTGTATGTGCTGGGGTGACTCTTAGACTGGGTTATGTCTTAGTTTGTTTCATTGTTGATGTGAAATTCCAGTACTGGTCTTGCACTCCCAGTTTGGGGAAGGGAAGGCACAATCACAACTTGTATTCTTCTTCTCTTTCTCCGATGACTATATCAAAGGTTGGGGGAGGTGGGGGGGGGGGGGGGGGGGGGTGTAAGGATATTCTGTTTGCTCTTTCAGATAAATTTTATATTTTGATCCTTAATTCATTTAGGGTTGTTCTTGATGTTGCAATACCATATTTTTGCATGATCTTCCTCTTGCTCTCTGTATATTTCTTCAGCATGGCTTTCTGTGGCAGCTGGTACCAGGGTATTCTCATCAGATGGTCAAACCATCTCATCTCTGATAAATTTAAACCCTTTTTGTAGCTAGGGTATTTTGAATCACTGCTCAAGGACCCCTTTTTTATTTTTACGTCAGTGGCGCAACAGGCATATGATGTAAGACCCATATTTTCTATAGATAAATGGGCTATCCTCTGAATAATGGTCCTAAATTATCGAGTCCAAAAATATACCCTAACAAGGCCTAAGTCACATGTTAACTGCAGATTTCCTGAGACTATACCGCCACCACTGAATTGCAGACTTCGGGGGACTATACCGCCACCGCCGAGATTATCTCCCACGCCGCTACGCTAGATGGCTGGGACTCACGAGCAAATAAAATGAAGGAAGCTGCAGGAGATGCGGCAGCTGCTGCTTGTGAGTCCCAGCCATCTAGTTTAGTCCCAATTCACGCGGATACTCTCGGCGGTGGCGGAAGTTGCCAGAAGTGCGCAACTGAAGTCGCAGAAAGTCCGCAACTGACATGTGACTGAGGCCCTGTTAGGGTATATTTTCAGCCTCGATAATTTGGGACCGTTATTCGGAGGATAGCCGATTAATGATTAACTCACTGAGTCCCAACCAACGCATGATGTGTCAATGGTTCTTCTCACTGAATCCAAAGAATTAAAAATTGTGTTCTTTCACTGTTTGTATTTGGACAGATAATGCTCTTGAAATCTGGCTTCCTGTGTGGTTACTTCCAGTCGCTAGTACTTTGTCTTATACAAGTTATACATCTGTGATTATCTATAGTGGTTCTGGCGCCCAAAGAGTTAATCAACACTCAATGGGCGATGCTGGCTCAATTTAATTCTGACCAAATTTAACTTTCCAGGATATCTCTTGGTACCCAGTTTAGGAAGCACTGACACAGGAACAATGCACCTGACTTAAAGTTAACTCATGCAGACTAAGCCTTGGGGGTTAGGGAAGTTCCAAAACTACAGAAATGAGAACCTCACTTTACTAAAAAAAAAAAAAGTGTATGAATCAAACTTCCACCAGCTGACCATATCCTCAAATACTAGACAAAGTATGTAGCCGACGACGACAGATCGACCAGCTCAGCTGCTTAGTAAGAGGTTACCGTTTTTACAAATCTCCCTGGCTTGCCTTGCTACCTCATCCTCATCTCTTGATCCGACATCCATAATATAATCATAAGTGATATTCAATGTCGTACTGTTGGCATTCGCATCAGAACAATAACGCTACCGAGTTGTGAATATCCAGACAGGCCTTTAACCTTGCTTCTTACACCGAAGAAACACATGATAACTAATTTATAATCATATTTAAAAACTGTAATGATCTGCGATCATATGTGAAGATTTGGTGACCATGTCACACAAAACCTCTCCTCACAATCCCAGACCAAAAATGTGGACTTGAACTTAAAGTGAACTTCACACAAAAATAACCAAGCTGTCCTACCTTTGATTCGACATTCTGTGTGATAATAACTTTTACAACCGATCATTGCTGACTATGCGTCAACAATCACGGGAAAACACAAGAAATCGGAAAACTTTTCCCTTTTGTTTCAACTCTCCTCTCCACTTTCCCCTTATCCGTGTGTCTCGTTCAATCTCGCAACACAAGCGAGATCGCCGACACCTTCGGTTTCGCTAATTTCGTGTTTTTTAAAGTCCATTTACAGTTGGCGACTACTTGTCTTTTCAATAACAATCTTAATTTTCAGACGCTGTTAACTAAAGACTCGGAAACTACTGAACCGATTGCTTTCAAATTTTCACACAAGAAACTACAACAAGAAAGTAAGAGGGATGAGACAAAGCAATGAGGAATATAATCCAACAGAAATAACTAAAGGATGAAAGAAGACAACCTTTTCTAGGCCCTAAAGTGATTCCAGGGCACTCTTCCGAATAACGGTTCCAAATTATTCGAAGACAAAAAATCCCAATGCACAAAGTGACTTGTATTGGCGATCTCCCTGCAGAAGACATCAAAGCAGCCGGAGAAATAGGAGCAAAATAGGCGAATTTTCCAGAGTGCCTGGCTAAAACAAGAAACACCAAATATCTGGCAAACAGCAAAAAATATCATCATCATCATCAGGTGCCTTGCCGACTGGCGTGGGCGATCATGCCGCTCCATAATCTGCGATCTCCTGCAGCATGTATCAGTTCGTGTGCCGACACACCTCTATGCCATGCAACAAGACTGTCAAGCATCTTCTCTCGCTGTCCTTCTCTATCCCTCCTTCCACAGATCTTTCCAGTGGTCACAACATGTTCTATTTTCCCTTTTCTCATAACATGGCCGAAAAATGATGACTGTCTCCTTCTGATGTATGTGATAAGTTGTCTTCGGGCTCCCGCCTCTTTCAAAAACTCGTGTTTGCTTTTTTTTGGCTATCCAAGGTATTCTAAGCATTCTTCTGTAAAACCCCATCTCTGAGGCCTCTAAAAATTGTTTGGCCTGCCTACCGATTGTCCAGGATTCACAGCCATATGTTAATACTGGATGTATGTAGCAAGCAAGAATTCTGTTTCTAACTCTCAGTAACAAGGATATATTGCACAAGATGTTTTTCATTTTAAAAAATGCTGTTTTTGTCTGTCTAATTCTGTTTCTTATTTCAGTTATGCATCTTCCATCTGATGTTATCCATGTGCCCAGATACTTAAATTTCTGTACTTGTCCTAAAACAACACCACTGACCTTTATTACACATTTAGGAATAATTTGTTTCTTTGATACCACCATTACTTCTGTCTTCCCATTATTCAAACTGAGTCCCATTCTTCCACTTTCTAACACCACAATGTCTATCATTTCCTGTAATTCTTTCTGACTTGTTGCTATCAAGACTGTCATCAGCACAACGTAAATTGTTTATAATGTGCCCACCAACCACAATTCCAGGCATATCAATTAAAGATTAAGCAAAAATTATACCAATGTGAAAAAAAAAAAATGGGTAAGAAAGAGTGCACTATACACTAAGCCGAATACCGAATAGTTATCAAGCGAATACGAAGCGAATATTCGGTATAATCCTAGTTCCAGAACCTCAGTGCTGCACGCACATCCGCTTTACAGCTCTGGCTTATTTGTATGCAGACTTTGAGTTCTTTGCCATGCGAAGGACTGGCGTTGGTGCACTGACAATGTGGGTATTCAGAGAGAACCACATCAAGGAGGTTTCTGGCGGGCATTGCACCATGTATCTCTTCCCTGTCAGTAACCACCTAGTGTAGTGGGGAATAGACCACCCGACTCCAATGTTTGGGTCAACGTTCTGTCCACGATTTTTTTCCCATGAGTTTTCCTACAGTGTTATGAAGAGTGATAGTTCTGTAGCTATTTACTCTCGCGTGATATATCTTTTGTTTAGGAACGGGTCTGAGTAGCTATGAAACCAGTCAGCGGGGATAATGCCGATTTTCATGATGTTGTTCGATGTCCTAGATAGTTCATCCATTTATGTCTCCTCGAGACTTTTAAAGTCGCTGTATCTAACGCCATCAGGTCCTGGGGCTGTTTCTGGACAAGCCTTCAATATTGCTCTGTTGCATTCAGTCGAGATATATTATGTATCATCGTCTTCCATTTCAGCCATGTGGATGTCGTGTATTCTCTGTTTCAACTTCCCCTCTCGTCCCGGTCTTTTCCGTCTGCAGGAGAAATTTGTTAGTTAGTTAGTTAGTTAGTTAGTTAGTTAGTTAGTTAGTTAGTTAGTTAGTTAGTTAGTTAGTTAGTTAGTTAGTTAGTTAGTTAGTTAGTTAGTTAGTTAGTTAGTTAGTTAGTTAGTTAGTTAGTTAGTTAGTTAGTTAGTTAGTTAGTTGGGTTATCCTCATTGCACTCCGGACATGTCCATAGGTGCTCAGATCCTCCCCTCAGTATAAACCCCAACGTCCGATGGCTAATAGTACCAGTTCTATGTTGATTAACAAGTCTTCTGGCGTGCCTGGTGTGCGTCTCGTTTTTTGCTGTGCCGATCTTAATTCCCAAGTCTGCCGTTCTGGCGAGTGATGTGGATTCACTGCCACCAAAGTCCTCTATCCTTCCCATTTTTCGGAGGGCATTGATAATATCAGCATGATCTATAGGCTGACCGTCGGTAGTGATAGCGGATCCAGCCAACCTGTCAGCTCTTTCATTTCCATCGACGCCTGCGTGTCCCGGAACAAAAATAAAGGTGACTCCACGCACAGTGGACTTCTGTAATGATTCAAGCCATTGTCTTCGCACTGAACCTGCCTGAACCCTCCGGATCATACTCATTGAATCACTGAGTATACACACGCGGGTGTATTTTTGTGTTTCAAGCCAGGCAAGCGCTTGCGTCACTGCCATCACCTCCATCGTCATGCTGCTGGTTGTCATGGAGAAGGCGCCGTTGGCTTCTTTGACTGTTCTGCCCGCTGAGCGTGCTGTAAATGCCCATGCGCTTCTTCTTTGGCGTATAACGGATCCGTCTGTATAGATTATTGCATCTGCTTCGTCTGAACTTTCACCGATGAGAACGTTGACCTCTGATTTAACAGCAACAGGATTCTCTTCTCTACATCGCCTGTTGAGTGTGACAATACAGGAAAAAGTACAAATAAACGCCTGAGGCACAGGTATCCATTCTGCATCAGGTATGATGTCGGTTAGGCTGCACATTTGCCTAATAACATCTTCTGCCCGACCTAGCCACGATTTCCCCCTCTTCAGTCTGTCGCCCTTTTCCCTAAAAAGCGCTTGATGCAGTGGGTGTTTCTTATTAGCACATATTTTGAGATATGCCCGAGCCCTCCACATCCTGATCCTTTGGTTTATTGTTGGAAAGTCAAGTAGATACCTCATCGCTCCACAGGATGTGTCTCTTGTACATCCCAAAACAATGCGCATGGCTTCATTTTGCACCTTTTCGAGTCGTTCAATCTGGGTAGCACTGACAGTGAGGATGGCCAGAGCGTATTCAATGGGGGAAAGGACCAGACCGTAGAATAGAAGTATTAGTAGTCTTTGCTCAATATTGGAAGCAGCCATAATCCTCATTGCAGATAGACCTTTGCGTGCTTTTGTTATCACATGGTCAACGTGTTCCCTGAATGACAAGCTGCGATCGAACCTCACCCCGAGAAACGTCATAACGTTGGTTCTGATCAATACATTATCACGCATTTTCACTTCTGGTAAGTCAGTCTTGACAATGTGATTGTTCAAAGAGAACCATGACACTGATGCCTTCGAAGGATTGACAAAGGCATTGGAACCATCACACCAGGCGGCAATTCGATCGAGTTCTTTGTGCATAGTGCTGGCTGCAGGAGAAATCTATGCGGGATAGTCTCGCCTTTGTCTTCATCCGACTGCACCACCTTCTCGTTGTCCATTTTTAGCTGTGTTTTAACAGAGGTTTGATTGCCTGCTGGTTTCGCTGAGTTCTCAATGGCTCTAAGCATAGCCTAAGAACGAGTAGCAGGGGCAACTCGATCGTCACGTCCTGCGTCCCTGTACCTTCGCGGAAGTTTCCAGTATTCGGAAAGGGGGGGGGGGGTGTAAGCATACTTGCTTCCACTCCTAAGACTGTTCAGCACCCCTCCGGCTCTTTCCCTTCCACAGAGGGCAGGACGATGGGGTGCACCGGATTTATTATTGAGGTTTGCTCCTCTAGATCGATTGTGTTTTGCCTGGAAATTCGCACACCCAGTTACAAGGACTACCTCAGGGAGGATATGGTTCTTCACCGCTCACAATGGTCTTGGGGTAAGAGAGATTATGCTAGGTCAAGGGGCTGACACCGCAATGGATGCTCTTTTCGTGAACATTCACTAGATCTAGATCTAGGGTGAAGTAAGGGGGAAAACCACTACCCACAAAACCACGTAAGTAAAATCAGTCCTCAAAGAAAGCCATCTCCCACTCTAAACAAGACAGCAGCAACTATAAAACTATATATATATATATATATATATATATATATATATATATATATATATATATATATATATATATATATATATATATATATATATATAAACATCTTGTGCAATATATCCTTGTCATTGAGAGTTAGAAAAAGAATTCTTGCTTGCTACATACATCCAGTTTTAACATATGGATGTGAATCCTGGACAATCGGTAGGCAGGCCAAACAATTTTTAGAGGCCTCAGAGATGTGGTTTTACAGAAGAATGCTCAGAATACCTTGGACAGCCAAAAAGAGCAACCAAGAGGTTTTGAAAGAGGCGGGAGCCCAAAGACAACTTATCACAGACATATGAAGGAGACAGTCATCATTTTTCGGCCATGTTATAAGAAGAGGGAAAATAGAACATGTTATGACTACTGGAAAGATCTGTGGAAAAATGGATAGAGGAAGACAACGAGAGAAGATTTTTGACAGTCTTGTTGTATGGCATGGAGGTGTGTCGGCACCCGAACTGATACCTGCTGCAGGAGATCGCAGGTTATGGAGAGGCATGATCGCCCACGCCAGTCGGCAAGGCACCTGATGATGATATATATATATATATATATATATATATATATATATATATATATATATATATATATATATATATATATATATATATATAAATGCTGTCCACAAGAATAGAACTAGACTAGGCGAGAATGTTGCCTGCTATGGATCCCTTAGAATGAAAAGGCGGAGCTTGCGAAGGTTAGAGGAAACCGAATGCAGCCCCAGCTGTCTCAGACCTTTGAAACGCCCCCCCCCCCCCCCCAAAAAAAAGAGAATGTTGCCTGCTATGGATACCTTGGAATGAAAAGGCAGAGCTTGCGAAGGTTGGAGGAAATCGAATGCAGCCCCAGCTGTCTTAGACCTTTAAAACGCAAAAAAAGTCAAAACAATCTATGGAATCGAATTGTAGAGAATCCTTAAAAAAAAAAATTACAGACGAGGTCATGAGTAAGGCGAAGATCTAATTTGGTTTGATTTCATTCAAGAACAAAAATCACAGCACTCAGGGCATTCCAATAAGCGCTTCGTTCCCCATCTTTAGCAGCCAGCGAAGAGTTCCGATACTAATGGTGCCAGTAGCATTCTGATTAAACGTCCGTCTTGCTTTTCCTCTGAGCCTCGAGCATCTGCCAGAACCTCTCGTCACCCCCCCCCCCCCTCTTGCATCAATCTCACCAGACTGTGGTAATCAATCCGCTCCACCGAACTGTACACGCTCTCCCACAAGGCACTAACCACTTCTGCCTTATCATGCATCCGTATTCCATCAAGCTGTACAGAGCCAGCCAGTCTGTCCGCCTGTTCATTTCCTAACACACCGGCATACCCTGGTGGAAAAATCAAGACAATACTTCTCACCCGTGTCCTCCGCAGCGAAGCGTGCTACTCTGCACGAAGCATGCCTGTCCTGATCTTCCTCAGCATGCTTTCTGAGTCAGTTACAGTCACGATGTGTGTGTGTGTGTGTGTGTGTGTGTGTGTGTGTGTGTGGTGTTCTCTAGCCAGCGGAAAGCTGCAGTGACCGCCTTCACCTCGATTCTTAAGCTGGACGTTGGGTATCATATGCTAGGCTCTCCTGCACCAAACTTCGACCATTACCTTTTGCTAAGAAGTCCCAAGCACTTCTTTTGCCTCTTGACACTGAACCGTCTGTGTAAATGATCAAATCCTCTGAGCGAGCATTATCTTGAATTAACTGCTGAATTTCCACCTCTGTGGCACATGCTGACCAGTCTCTGCATTCCCGGCTCAGTGTGATTATGTCCCTACACAAGTCTGACTGTTCAGGTGGCACTTTGACCCACTCCTCTCCTCGCCTAATGTTCTCAAGGATGCAAACCTGTCTGATTGTGTCTTCTGCCTAAGCCATCCATGACTTCCCTCTTTTCAGCCGCCGACCCTTAACTGCACCCAGAGCATTATGCAAAGGGTGGTCTGTGTCTGCAGCTACCATGAGATTTGACTTCGCCTGCAGCATCTTGTACCTACCTGCAACAGTCGGTAAACCAAGGATGTATCGAATACACACCACTGGGGTGTCTCTGGTGCAACCCAAAACGACCCGCATTGCTGCGTTCTGAATGCGCTCTAGTTTGTCCATCTTACTCTTTGAGACGGTAAGCAGTCCGAGGCCATTATTAATCACGCAGAAGACCAAGTGCTGATATAGCGTGAAAAGCAATCTCTGCTCTATATCCATTGGGGCCATAGTATTAACTGCATTGAATCCCTTTTGGCATATTGTCATAACCATCTCCACATAGTCCTTTGAGGACAGGTTCCTGTCAAATGTGATTCCCATATGCTTCAGTTTGCTCTCACTGTTAACGTTTCTACCATCAATCGTGAGAGACATCAGCTCTAACAATCCTGATATCTAGAGAACACCACAAAAAGGCGCCTTTTATGTACACCAGTCAGTCACTTTTTCAACTGTTGCCTGTAGCTCCTATGCGGTTTGTTCCTCATCTGTCCCCTGCCTTTAAGCGAGAATACCATCTGCAAATGCCGGTATCCTTTCGACCCCTAAGGCATCTAGACTTGCAATCTTGCTCGTAAAAACGTTAAAAAGCACAGGCGAGATTGCGGATTCCTATGGGAGTCCTGGGGCTATAATGCGTGGTTCTGAGGTCCATAAACCCTGACGAAAAGCAACAGGATAAAATACATGACAGCTACTATCCAGTTCACCAACCAGGGACTGACCTCTTTATCCATTAGTGCGGCCATCAAAATATCACATCTGACTCTATTATGCGTATCCTGGAATCAAGCGCTGCCACCATCATTTCCTCTTAGTTCTTGAGAGCTTCGTAAACATCAAAGGCAAAAGTGGCTGCATTTGACCAGGTAAGTTTTCCACGCCTGTAGCTTCCCAGACCTCTATGAAGAAGCTTCCCTGTTTCTAAAAATGCTTGCAGTTTGACAGCGACTATCTTAAACAAGACCTTCCAAGATGTATTTTTCAGGGGATGACTCTAAAGCCACTAAGCTTTGAATGATCCTTGCATGGTTATGAAAGTGTGATTGGATAGCGGTGCACCCGATCCCGCGGTACTGCTGCTGTCCAAAAGCTCTGGCTACAGAAGTCGGTGAGGAAGTTTATAAGACAGTCATCAGCAAATAGTGACCCAACGATGTGCTCAAAAGTGCTCACAGTCTCAAAAAGTTAAATGGTTAAACAATATATTAATATACACATTATGAATATCAAGAAAACACAAAAGCATCTGTGATAAAATGCATGCGCACACTAGCGCTATCCACACCGACCCACATACACACGCCCACCCACTCACTTACGCACACATACATACACATCCACATACATACATATACACATAATACATACTTACACAACCAAAACATCCATGAGAAGATATAAAGCTGGAGCCGGTCTTGATACACACATACATACACACCCACAAACATACACACCCACATACAGACACTCACATACACCACACAAACATTCACATACACAGAACGTTATTATGAGAGATTCAGAAGGCTGGAATGAATTCCATCCATGATATTGAAACAATTACACAGGAGCGGAATAAACTACACACAAAAAGGATAAGTAAAGTAAAGGACCCTTTTTCACTTCTTTAGGCGTAGAGGGCATATAGGGCATATAGGGCTAGACACCTATATTTTATAGACCATACGGCACAAGATGGGTGATTTGGTCAGCATGATGCCGGTCGCCTCTACTTCCCGGGACTGAACCTGATACCCACTCAATGCAGGGGCCTGCTACATGATGATGATGATGATCTTGAATGAGTCGGCTTTGTGGCTAAGTCGATGCGAACGCTTCGTAATGCCGGGTTCGATCCCAGCTGCGGGCCATGCGCCGTGCGTTGACTTTGACAGTGGTATCAAGAAAGCTGACCGTCCAGAAAGCAATGGCAAACTACTGGACGTGAATTTGCCTAGAAAAACCACACAACAGCCAGGAGCTGTTGGGGTTGGTTCTGCAACGTCCTGTAAAGGATACGCAACTAACCTTTATCTTGAATGAAAACACGCAACCGAAAAAGTGACGTCAAAACACCTCAGGAAAATGAAGACCAGCTAAAAAAAGGAAAAAGAAGGTGATGGTGAAGGAGGAGGAATATAATAATTTGTTGTGCGCGTTATCGTTTTTACCGATTAAAAAAAAAAATACTTTGAATATTTATCTTGGTTCTGGTAGGGTAGGATTAGCTAATGAAAATCAAATTACAACCGAAAGAAACGAATACGATATTTAACGTTTGCAAAGTCAGTATTAACTCTTTCTGCCCAAGATAGATTACTCTAGCTAATTGTCATCAGGACCAGAGCAGTTAAAGAATATCTATAAATACCAGGCCTAAACTGAAATAGGATGAAAAAAAAAAGCTAGAAAGAGCTACAAGAACTATCCAAGACCCTAGCGCAGCGGTTTTCAACCTAAGGGTCGCGATCTTTTTTTTTGGGTCGAACGACCCTTTTAGTACTTTTACATGGGTCGACTAAGACAATCGGAAAACACATATTCATTGAATTTATGAAGGAGAATAGTTGTCTAGGTCGTAAAACATGAGGAAACTGTATTAAAGGGTCGTGGCATTAGGAAGGTTGAGAGCGACTGCACTAGCAGGTTAATTCCCAAGTGACTGGGACAGAAGAGTTAACCGATTCCAAAAATGGCAGAAGTCTTGCCAAAGTATCTCCAGTTATCTCAACGAGTGATTCGGATCTTGGGATGCAACCCTGGCCCTGCCACTCTACAAGGCACCAACACATACCTTGTAGGGACGGGGAAAAGGTCAGTACATGTCTGCTCGTTATTTCTCTCTTATAATTATTTATTTTGTAACTAACCACATTGATATTCTTGGACGTGGATCCTTTTCCCAGTGTTACTGCTAGCCAGCAAGTTCAAAGGACAAAGGTCACGTTGAGTTATCATGTAGCAGGTACCTTGCAGAACGTCACTCTCATCATTGCCTGTCTGAAAGAAGCTCGGTCCTTCGCCAGCTCTCCCGCCTCCTGTACTTTCATACTCAAGGAGTCACTTATATCCTGTGCCCATCTTCGTGTTGGTCGGCCCCTGCCCCTCCTTCCTAGTACCATGCCTTCTGCTATTATTTTGTTCCAATCTGTGTGGGGCTTGATATGACCAAAATATTTTAGCTTCTGAGACAGGATGCTGTTAATTAGCCAATCTTCCTTGATGTTGTGATCTTTCAAGATGTCAGTATTTCTCCTCTTCTTTGTCCAAGATATTCTGAGAATCTTTCTATAGCATTTCAGCTCAAAAGCCCCTATTCTCTTTCTTAAGGACGGAGATAGTCCACGACTCACATCCGTATGATGCTACAGGAAAGAGGCATGCCCTCAAAATTCTAATTTTGATCTCCTTGCTTCCGAGTTATGTACATATAATATTAACATGACATGCTGCTTTTACTTCACACTAATATCTCGGCTCTTTCGTAAACTGAGAATTATTGATTGGCTCCTGTAACAGCTGTTAATAATAAAGAGTAAAAAGGGAAGTTTACAATTTAAAAAGAGGGCACATTCGTCACCTAAAACGTCTCAAAGTACATAACATTTTTACAATTGCATATTTATTATGTTTATACTTATATAGGGAGCCGCAGGTAGATTCTTGCCTGAGGATCTGGATCAGAAGGTCGTAGATCCAGATCCAAAAGATGCTGGATTTAGTTTTTTTTTCCACAATTGATCTTGGCTGCCAGATTGACCCAGCCTTAAAAGATTACCGGCAAAAGTCCTGGGAAATAATGTTGGTCGGCATGATGTTGACCACACCATCCATCGAGTGCCGGTTGATCTATAAAACATAGGGCTAGATGTATGTGACCACTATGCTTGAAGGTGTGGAAGAGGGTGCTTTTCTTTACTTTACTTATTCCCCCAAAAGACAAAAGCGGTTAAAAAAGAGGCTGGTTCTTTTCCTTTAAACTACAGTCAATTGTTTGAATTATAGTGGATAAAGGCCTTTCTGGCGAACCTGATGTCCTTTCTTTAATTACTTTTTTGATAAAAGGACCCACATTGGGACAAATCCATTTTTACATATCTGGTTTATTTGTTTGCAGACTGTTGGTTCCACACCTCCAAAGCAGATGGACTGATTTCAAAGAAAATTTATGTGATTTGAATCTGAAAACGTCTGAATATAAGACCCCTTGGTGGCGGGTACGAGGTTTGGTCTTAGAGAACAGCAGAAAGCTCAAGCGACCATGTGCATGTTGTACATATTAAAGAACTTTTGACAACTAGAAAATTGTCAGAGCAAGCAACCAAAAAAAAAAAAAAAGACCTATGGCTAGACAATTAGAAAACTGAATGCTTTTATAAAACATAAAATATTTGTCGTAATTAAAAGCCTTGCCATCTGGCATGGGTGATCATGCCTCTCCACAACTTGCAGTCTCTAACAGCATGCATCAGCACCTGTGCTGACACTCCTCCATGTCATGACAAAAGGCTGTCAAGAATCTTCTAGCATAGCTTTTTTCTATCTCTCTTTCCATGTTTGTCACATGTTCTGGATTCTTTCTTCTTATAACAGGTTAAAAATTATGAATGCCTCCTCCTCATATTTATGATAAGTTGTCTTTGCGGGCCCTAGACTGTTTCAAAACATCTGGGTTACACATTTTGGCTGTCCAAGAAATTTAAGTAAATATGAAGCTTGTATACACACCCGTGGATCATTTCCAACATCGCAGAGTTTGTGTACCATTCTGAGATTCTCCTTGTGTGTTCTGTGGGAGGAGACTTGAGCACTTATGGAGAAATGTGTCTTAAACAAGACTGATCCTTTACAAACAAGATGAAGGGCTGTTTTACATGTTTTTAGTGGTTTGTGCCTTATGATTACTGAAATGTGAATTGAGAATCAACATCACAGCACTTGAGACATTCTCAAAAGCTCTCTATCCCCATCTTCAGCAGCAAGGATAGAGTTCCACTTCTGATGGCACGATTAACAGTCTGATTGTTATTTCATCTCGCCTTTTCTTTGAATGTTGAGCATCAGCCAGATCCCCTGGTCACTCCTCGCAGTACCATTCTCCTCAGACATGGTTACTGATTTGTAATAATAGTTACATGCTCACACAAACATACATGCATGCTTGCCTGCACATACTGACACACTCGTGCCTGCACACACTGATACATGCATCCCTGCACACAATAACAGTGCATTTATGTGCAAAACACATACTGAGTAAAGTTGTCAGTCAGTAATGACAGTTTTATATTTCTAGACAAATCCTTATGACAGTTTTACATTTCTAGACAAATCCTTATGACAGTTTTACATTTCTAGACAAATCCTTATGACAATTTTACATTTCTAGACAAATCCTTATGACAGTTTTATATTTCTAGACAAATCCTTATGACAGTTTTATATTTCTAGACAAATCCTTATGACAGTTTTATATTTCTAGACGTATCCTCATTGACACTGGTGACCCCGATGTTCCAGAGTACCTCGACCTGCTGAAATCATCACTGACCAAACATGGGGTTGATATCCAGGAAATAATTGTAACACACTGGCATCATGATCACGTCGGAGGAGTGGACGGCATCTGTCGAACTCTTGGCACCAGTAATTGTCTTGTATGGTTATCGTCAGTTGTTAATTGCCTGTAGCTGTGTTTTAACGCAAGCTGGCCTTGCTAATCACACACACACATTTAGATTATTCTTTTTTTTTGTCCTTTTGTTTTTAATCATCATCATCATTATCAGTTTCCACTTCTGCCATTAACCATTTTGAGGAGGAACAGTTGGAGATCCGTTGCTTGATGGGCAGCATTGACTATTGTCATTCCTTGTTGACATAGAAGCTCTTTAATGTGATCAATTCATCTTCTCCTTGGACGGCCTCTTGCTTTCACTTAAGATTGTTTCATGTGTGGCGCCTGTGTTGGTAGTTGTTCTGGCTGCAGTCTTAGTGTTTTTAATCACATTTTTTTTAAAGTAGGGGGGAGGGGAGGGGGCCATGGTGCAGGGGTCTTGCCATATTTTCATATTTTCATGGGTGTGGGGAGCCACCTGAAGAAGATTAAAAACCACTGGTCTAGTTGCTGCCTGCCTTGATTATCCTTAGATGAATGGGTCTCCGTAGCTAACTCCTTGAGCCATTTACCTCGCGCTGTGAAGGCCGTGGGATCATTTCATGGAGTGTAATTTTTACGAAGATCCCTGGGGATAATTGCTTGGGCTATGGAGTTCAGTCTTTGTGCAGTGCTCCCAGTAGGTGGCTAGCCATTCTGCTGAGAACAACTGGGTTGTATGACATAAAATCCAGTGCAGTGAAGTTAGTCCTCTCAACTTTAAACTTTTGAAGTAAAAAGTAAGTTGTCTACACATTGAGGTATATTGGATGTATGATGCACTGGATGGATCATAGGTTCATAGGTTCCTACCTAGAAGCCAAATAAACGCATGATGCGCCGATTTTATTACTTTCTTCACTACCCCCTGGGCCTGTGATGCTAAACACTCTGGGACTCAAAGAGTTAAACCAGCTGCCCTAAACTTCCCAGTTTCATATTTATGCCAGTGTTTGCAGGTGTGCAAGGAAATGAGCAAGCTGATGGGGTTGCAGGTAAGGCTACTGTGGAGGGCGGACGAGCCATGGACCATGCTATTCTGAATGCTCTGCATGACATTTGTGAGAACCAACTGATGACTAAATCTGCAACCATGATCAGACTGCAAGAACAACATGTTAATGGGGTGGTTCCAGACAAGAGCACTATGCAGAAACTAAAGAAGAATAAGAAACCAAATCAGAACTGGTGTCATAAACTGCTACACACTGTGGGATTTACTTAGGAGGGAATTTGAGCACATATGGACTGAATTGTCAATGTTCTTAGCGGATAACCTGCCGATTAACTAACTAACTTTACATCAGAAAAATCCATTAGGATTTCCCTGCTTGGGTTTAAATCCCATCCTCATTGGTAATTTTTAGTCATCTCTGTGACCAGGTAAAATAAAATAAAAAAGTAAAGGCCCCTTTTCCACGCCTTTAGGCATATAGGGCTAGACCTATTTTTGTATAGACCAGTCGGCACAAGATGGGTGATGTGGTCAGCATCACGCCAGCGGCCTTTACTTCCCGGGACTGCACCGGGTACCCACTCAAGGCTGGGTTTGACCTGGGTGTCAAGTTCATTTGTGAAAAAATCTGGCTCCGCCAGGGAGCAAACCCACGAACTTCCGATCTGCACGCGAGTGTCTAGCCGCCACGCCACAGTGACTCCCCTGTGACCAGGTAGTCAGCTATATTTGTGTAGTTGCCCTAGTGAAGTAGTCAAGACATTTGCCTTGTTCTCTGAACATTTTAAGTTCATTTCACAATCTGCATTATCAAATTGATACATGCCATTTTTTTAAAGAAATCCCTAGGGATCATCATTGGAGCTGCAGAGTTTATGCTTCATGTGATATGCTTGGTAGGCGGCTGTTCATTCTGAGGAGAAAAACAGAGCCATATGGAACGAAACCCAGTGCAATAAAGTTTAATCCTTTGTCAGTTACTGCCTCATATGATTTCTTTACATGTCACCTTTTTATTCCAGAATACCGTACATCCAAGCTGATGAGGGCATCAACACCTGACCTAGCTCTTAAGGAAACCACATATAATTTTATACAAGATAAGCATGTATTTACGACCGAAGGTGCTACTTTAAGGTCAGTTTTAATTAATAATTCTATCTAAATTGTTTTTAAAAAAAATTCATTTTTGTAAATACTAGATGTATAATCAAATCATATTGACATTTTAGTAATAAACAAGTATAACCTAACCATAATGACATGTAATAACCAGGTATAACCATATGGAAATGTTATAATAACCAGGTATAACCATATGGACATGTTGTAATAACCAGGCATAACAACATTTACACATTTTAAAAACTAGAGATAGCCACAGTGACATGATATATTAACCAGATATAACCAAATCAAAATGTTATACTAACCAGTAATAACAACACTGACACATTATAATAACCAGAGATAAGCACATTGACATGTTGTAGTAACTTGTGATAACCACATTAACACATTATAATAACCAAATCAGCCCACTGTTATAACCAGTGATGACCACATAGTGATGCTATAATAACCAGAGATAGCTGCATATACATGTTATAATAACCAGAGTTACCAAATCAGCATGTTATAATAACAAGTAATAACCACTTAGACATGTTATAACAAATATTGATAATGAAATCAACATGTTATAATAAGAAGTAATAACCACATAGACATGTTATAATAACCAGAGATAATGACACTGACATGTTATAGTAACCGGAGATAACCACACTGACACATTATAATAAACAGATATAACCACATAGACTTTTTATAATAAACATTGATAATCAAAACTACATGTTATAATAAGTAGTAATAACCACTCTGACTTATTCAAATAAACATTGATAACCAAATCTACTTGCTACTTAGTCACTCCTCTTCTACCTTGGGGTGTAGAGGTTTGCCAGAGAGATCGCCAGATGTCTGTATCTGCAGTTTTCTTTCTGGCTTTGTTCCATTTCAGTCCTCTGTCAGTTAGGGACTGTCGGATGTTGTCTTCCCAGCGGACACTGGGTCACCATGGAGGTCTGGTTCTCTGGTTCTTAGCCTCCTATGCCTGCCACGGTGGCCGATTTTCTCCTATTCTGCTTACATGTCCAAACCATCGTAACTGTGACCGATCCACTCGGGTTTGTAAGGACTGGGTATCAAGATCTTGACGTATTGTCTGATTGCAGACTTTGTCCCTCTTCTTGTCACTTGGACCACATTTCTCAGATATCATTTCTGAGACCTGAAGCTGGCTTCTGTGAGCTGTTGTCATTGCCCATGACTCACACCCGTAGGTCAGGACTGGTACATAGGTAGAGCAGTAAACAGCCATTTTCCTCCTCTTGCCAATTTCTCTTTTGGATAACCAAATCAACATGTCATAATAAGAAGTAATAACCACATAGACATGTTATAATAACCAGAGACAACCACACTGACACATTATAATAACCAGATATAACCGCATAGACTTATTATAATAAACATTGATAACTAAATGAACATTTTAAGAACTAATAACCACAAAAACTTATTAACTATTTGATATGCATTATGCGTTCATAGGTTCCTACCTAGAAGCCCAATGAATGCATGATGCGCTGATTTTATGGCTCTCTTTTCTACTTCCTGGGCCTGTGATGCTAAACCCCATGGGACTTAAAGAGTTAAAATAAACATTGATAACCAGATCATGTTATAATAAGAAGTAATAACCACTTGACTTATAAATAAACATTGATAACCAAATCAACATGTTATAATAAATAGTAATAATCAGAGGTAACCACACTGAAATGTTATAATAACCTGAGCTAATCACATAGACATGTTATAATAACGACACTGACACACTATTATAACCAAAGATAACCATTTAGATATGTTGAAAAAACAAGAGATAACCACATTGACATGTTATAATGACTAATGAAAACCAGATGTAATATTTACCAGGGTGCTCTATGGTCCTGGACACTCGGAAGATCACATTGCCCTGAAGCTGGAAGAGGACAACGCAGTATTTTCAGGGGACACAATCCTAGGGGGATCCACAACGGTCAGTGCCGGGTGACAAATGTGACACGATTCTTCTGTGTAATTGTTTGTCTCCTGATTCTGGAAATAAATGCTTTAATTCTATCACCCAGGGAAGACTAAATCTAGTCACTTCTGCTTGCAGCACAGTCTCATAAATGCTGATATGTCTCCAGTGACCTGTTCTCGAATAGCATAGTTAAATTATGTTTGTTTTGTGTGTGCCTGCCTAGTGTTTAATAGGCAGCAATTTGAATAACTAAGGATAGCATTACGGGGTTTCCTTATGACCTCACTGGCTTTTGTAAAGCCAAGTTGATGTAAATTATTCACTTATAAGCCTCACTGATGGAGATGGTGGGGTCACTGGATGAGTCAGGAAGTACATATTGCTTTTTCAGGCCCCAGAGGATGTTTTCCATTTAACGCTTTACTTTGTTTATGTTTATTATCTCTTTAAATATTTTATATATTTATTTATTTCTCACACACAGACACACAACATTAAAAATATAGATTCATAAATTTGAAGAAAAAAAAATTTAAAAAATGAGTGACCTGTGTAAAATGTTTGAAAATTTTTGTTTAAAGAATTTTTTCCTGGGAATTTCCCACAGCTTAATTCACGTTAATTCATGGGTAGGGCCATACAGAGTGGAGAGCTGAGTGGTGGGGTGGCTAGAATGCCTGCCTACTCATCCCTTTTCCATGGAAAAGAATAAGAATGTTAGCCTATTCCTTGTTTGTTTACTTTCAGATTATAGAAGACCTGCAGCAATACATGAAGACACTCAACGACCTGCTAGACCTGCAGCCGAAGGTTATATATCCAGGACATGGTCCAGTCATTGAGAACCCAGTGGAAGTGATCAGGTACTACATCAAACACCGCAACGACAGGGAGCAGCAAATCGTTCAGTTCCTCTCTGACAGTCGCGGCCAGGGTGTCACTGCCATGGATATTGTTAAGGGAGTGTACAAGGTGATGTTGTTTTCATTGTTTTCCCTAGTTCCTCTTCCTTCTTCTTGTCTTCATTTCCCTTTCTTTTCCACCATTTCTTTGTCTTCTTCCATTTCCCGTTCTTTTCCCTGATTTCTCCTTTTCCTTGTCCCTTTCTTTTCCACTATTTCTCCTTTTCCTTGTCCCATTCTTTTCCACCATTTCTCCTTTTCCTTGTTCCTTTCTTTTCCACCATTTCTCCTCATCAGTACGTGCACCTTTTTTAAAGGCTTTTCCCCCCACTGTAATAGACACTTTTTGGTGCTACCAGTACCTTTTATTAGATATCTTGTGGTGATTTTCTTTTTCTAAAAAAAAAAACCCATTAAAAAAAACCTGGCACACAGAACAGTTCACCATACATTCATAAACTGTTAGGAAGGGCAAGGAAGTATTTTGAGTTGTTAACATGATTTAGGGAGGAAGGGCTGGCAAATAGCTTATGTGGGAGAGACCTAAGTTTGAATCCTTGGTAAGGCAAAGTTTTTTTAACTGTCAGTAGTAAAAAATAAAATCCTGACTTCCTTGTATGGGTTGTAGGGCTCCCATTTTAGGGACAAAAAATAATCGACCCACTGACCCATCAAGAATTTCATAAAAGACGACTAATTAGGAGTTAGAATCCTGCTTACACGAATCCACCTCAATACCTGTATCATTCATGTCCCATTTGCACACATCTTCCTATCACCTGTTGTAATTCCCCATAGAGGATGTCCTTAGGGACTCTTCCATTCTTCATCCTCAAGTGTGTACTAGCCCGCTGAGCCTTCAAAGACTGGACTTTGAGAGATCTGCTGTTTCCAATACCTCAGTCTTTGTGATCTTGCTATCAACACTATGGGTCTCCATGGTGAAGTGGTAAAGCTGTTTGTCTCACACTCTGAAGGTCATGGGTTCGTTTCAAGGTTGCATCGTTTGATTCAGCTGTGGAGCTTTCATGCAGATCCCTGGGGATCTTTGCCAGAGCTACTGTCTTCATGGTTTGTGGTGTAATGCTCTCGGCAGGCTGCAGGCTACTCTGCAGAGAGAGACTGAGCCTTAGGTGATCAAGCTTGGTGCAGGGATGTCAATCCTCTCCCCTTTAACTTTTACTGTGGATTGAAAAGATTAAATAATATTGGCATTCTGCAAGATCAGAATACTGAAGTAAACTGACTCATGAAACAAATTGTACCTCTGAAATACTTTGGTAGTATTAAATCTTGTAGTGGTTTGTTACAAATAACAGTCATAGAAAGCGTGTTTCCTATAGCAGGTGTCGACCAGCACAAAAGTGGACTTCTTCTACTTCTTCTTCTTCTTCATGTTCATCAGCTGTAAACTAGCAGAAAGTTCTGGTTCTTCATCCATTTCTGCACTTTAGTCTTGTTCCAGAACTTGAGTTTTGTGTTGGATCCCTGCAGATCTGGCTTATTTGTGTGCAGACTGTTGGTTCCTTGCCTCTCAGGCAGATGCACTCTGACAGAAAACACACGCATACCCCTAATTAGTCACATTTTATGACAGCCTCAAGCAAGGCATGATGTGTGGATGAATTTACCCATTGATTTTACTCTACTGCATAGCGTGCTCTGTTACTTTTAATATTTAGTCAGAACATACTAGAGAAATCTTGCTTTCCTCAGTGGTCACTTTAACTGTGTATGTTGCTACCAAGGACCTGTTCACGTTTCCAGGCCCAGGATTATAGTTGCTTTCCTTGCCATTCATGCCTCCTTAAGTCGCTGGACATCTCCTGTGTTGCGGGGGTGTTATAATATGGCTTGGTTTGTCGTCACTCTGTGTATGTAATATTTGTGGGAGGTTGTGTTGTTGTAAGTCTATTTCAGGCACCTGTATACAAGTACATGGTACCAGGAAGGAGGGGCAGAGGCCGGCCGACACAAAGATGGGCACAGGATATAAGTGACTCCTTGAGTGTGAAAGGTCATGAGGCGGGAGAACTGGCAAGAGACCGAGTTTCTTACAGGCAGACTGTGATGAGAGCGACGTTCTGCAAAGGACCTGCTACATGATGATGATGTATACAAGTAAGAAATACTGCAGGGAGAAGCGCCACAGGCGCTATGTTTCTTGGCTATCAAAACTGGGATGTTTTTGTATTTCTATGTTCGTTGGTGGTGGCCTCCCCACAAGAAAAAGAAAGCAGTTACAAGGAGTGTAGGAATATAAAAAATATAGCTGTTTGCATACTCACGAATCATCGCGCAGGTAGCAGAGCATGAAAATAATCATGCAAGCTAGCGGTGAGAAGACAAGAAAAGAGGCAATGGTTAAACCATACACAATAAGAAAAACATAACTCCCCCGCAACATAGGAGAGGTCCAACAACCTAAGAAGGCATGAATGGCGCAGGAAGTTACTTTAATCCTAGGCCTGGAAATGTGAACAGCACCAATTTATGAATTTTCAGTGATGATTATTTCTCTACTCTGTTATCTCCTGAAAAACTTCTGGTGCCGAAAGAGTTAAGGATAAGTAGGTCTGTAATTCTTTTCGCCCCTAAAATGAGGTTTGAGAACCTGCATGGGGAAAAAGTGGACTAAGATTCTTTCTGATAGGTTGTAGTAGGAGAAATGTTCTACAAAGGACTTGTGCATGATGATAATGAATCCAGTTTTTAATGAATCCAGTTTTTAATAAAATCTGTTTTTAATTTTTATTAACAAATGTTTTGTGTGTGTTTTGTTTAATTATTGTTGTCTCTTTCAGGATGTGCCAGAGAATGTTTATTGGATGGCAGCTCAAAACGTAACTTTGCATTTACAGAAACTTCAGAAGGACAAAGTGGCAGGTGCATGGATATATATTTTATGTTTATGTTTGTTTTCACTTCTTTGTGGTATTCTTTTGTGAGGTTAAAATTTTGTTATATTCGTATAAGGTTTATCTTTGATTTTATCCTTGTTTGGAATTAGTATGAATATGGGATTCTTATCTGTGTCTTGCATTCAGTTTTATATTATGTTAATATGGAATTTGTATTCTCGTATGACATTCACTGGTATGTTATCCTTATTTGAGATTACTTTATTAGTAATTACATAATAAATCAAGGACCTTTTCTATGCCAGTGGTGCTTTAGGCGTATGATGCCAGGGAACTTATCATGAAGTCCCCAGCACGCTGAGAGTTTCTTCCCTTCCCATTCATGCTGCACGGCTTGTCCTGTGTTGTGGGGGCATTATGAGATGGCTTCATTCGGCATACGCTCACCATACAAATTGTTCGTGGAAGGCTGTTTTGTTGTGAGTCTCTCTGAGGCGCTGCAGGTGCCAATCTACAAGAAAGAAGTACTGCAATGGGAAGAGCTGAATGCGCGACTGTTTGTGAGTATCGAAACTGGGATGTTTTTGCATTTCCGTGTTCATTGCTGGTGGCTCGTCTCTCCCCCCCCCCCCCCTCCTCCCCCTTTTCAGCCATCAGAAAAAGAAGCCATTGACAAGGAACATAGAAATACAAAACCATCCCAGTTTCGATACTCACAAACTGTCAGGCAAGTAGCACATCATGGAAATAATCACGCAAGTGAGCGATGACAACAGGAGAAAAGAGAGAATGGGTAAACCATTGAAAATAAGGAAAACATGACACCCCACAACATAGGACAGGCAATGCAACATGAATGGGAGGCGAAGTAACTCTCAGCATGTGGGTGGGTTCATGATAAGAACCGATGCTAGAGTTATATTTTCAAAGACTATGGAGTCTGCAGAAGGATACTAGCCATTTAGGAGAGACAGACCCAGTCATATTGGATAAAAACAGTGCAGTGAAATCAGTCTTCATACGCAACTGTATGATGATGATAGACACCCTACGCAGCCCTACACGCAACCGTATGATGATAGGTAACCCTAGACGCAACCGTATGCAACCCTACATGCACCCGGATGATGATAGGTAAGTATGTCATTTGATTCGTGACTTTTTCCGCTCGTTGTTGTCAATGCGGCCAAGGGAGAGAACTCCCACTAAGATGACCGACGCCGTCCCGCTTGCATCCAAATCTGCTAGGAGAGCCAAATTTTCGTACAATTTTTCTTTTTTCTTATGTTTAAAATCCACCAATCTCCATCATTGTATGAATCCTCAAGTTGTGAATTTTATATTTCTGTGACAATGAAGTTCATACTAGAGACAATATTGCAGATATAGATAATTTATTTCAAACGAACGAAAGAAGAAGAAAAAGAAAAAGATATATCTGTAATACCTGTGGAAGCCAAACTTTACCGATCGCTGAGTGAATTACAAAGACAGTGAAGTTCATACTAGAGAAAGCATTGCAGATATAGATGATCTATCTCAAGGGAATGTAAGAAGAGGAATATATCTGTAATAATTATTTTGGACAGCCAGAATGAGTTGTTTCCCATGTGAGTTCCTTAATTTTGGGGAGGGAGAGGGGATGTTTCGGACCCCGAACTACCTCCATAACATCATCAGTCAGAGAGTTCTTTACATAATGCTGCTGTTGTCACAGCACGCCTGAAAGTCTCTCTTTCTCTAGCCAGCTCTCGAGCCTTATTTGCTTTCACAGCCAGGGCATCTTCAGTGTTTTGTGCCCATCATCACTGTTTTTCAAGCCCACCTTGATGTTTTACGTGGCCAAAATACCTTAGCTTTCGGCACAGGATGTTGTTTATGAGTCAGTTCTCCTCGGTATTCGAAGACAGCTTATTACAAACATCATGCAGAAGGAGTCATCAGTTTTGATCACATTTCAAGAAAAACTTGAACATGTTATTACAGCTGGAAATCTTTTGGCAACGAAAAATAGAGGATGACAAGGAAAGAAGATTTTTGACAGCCTTTTTTTTCTATTTCTGTGTTCACTGGTTGTAAGCTCAGGCTGAAAGTCCTGGTTGTTCATGCATTTATGAAAGTCCTGGTTGTTCATGCATTTATGAAAGTCCTGGTTGTTCATGCATTTATGAAAGTCCTGGTTGTTCATGCATTTATGAAAGTCCTGGTTGTTCATGCATTTATGAAAGTCCTGGTTGTTCATGCATTTATGAAAGTCCTGGTTGTTCATGCATTTATGAAAGTCCTGGTTGTTTATGCATTTATGAAAGTCCTGGTTGTTCATGCATTTATGAAAGTCCTGGTTGTTCATGCATTTATGAAAGTCCTGGTTGTTTATGCATTTATGAAAGTCCTGGTTGTTCATGCATTTATGAAAGTCCTGGTTGTTCATGCATTTATGAAAGTCCTGGTTGTTCAAAAGTCCTGGTTGTTCATCCATTTATGAAAGTCCTGGTTGTTCATGCATTTAGGCTTGGGCATTTAGGCACATCCATTTGATTGGCTTATTTGTTACAGCTGGTTGGTTGTCCCTTGTCCCTCGAACAGATGCACTCAGGCTTCGAAGGACACCCCCCTCTCCCCAATAAGTCAGCTCCTACGACTATGATTGTTGGGAAGGCATTAGGTCTATTCTTGTTTTCCCCACAGTCGGCCCTAGAACCCACACAAGGATTGGCAGCCTTTTATCTTGGCAGGATTTGCAGAGTATAGGATTAACATCTTTTTTGGATGAGAATCTTTTCTTCTTCATGTTCACTAGCTGTAAACACTTCCGGAAGGTTCTGTTTTTCCTCAATCCACTTCTGGACTTGAGTCGTGTTCCAGAACTTGAATTTTGCATGCATATCCATTTTACAGATCTGTTTTTTTTTTAATGCAGACTGTTGGTTCCTTGCTTTCAAGGCAGATGCACTCAAACTTTGGAGGAAATATCCCTAGTTTCATTTTACGATATGCTTGATAGGGAGGCAGTGGTTCTGTTCTGGTCGCTTCCCCCACACTCCATATTGGCGCCTTGAAACTCTGACGGGAGGATAAGAATCAAACCAAACTAGGGCAAATCCCAGAAATCTGTTCACCCATATAACACATCCATATCGGGATCCATTCTTATTCTTTGTTCACCGGCTGCAAACTCCAGCGGAAAGTCCTGTTTTTTTGTGTCAATTTGGACTTGGGCTTTGTGCCAGTGCCTGAATTTTGCGTATACATCAGTTTTACTGGCTTATTTGTGTGCAGATGGTGGTTCCTTGCCACAAAGGCAGATGCATTCTGACTTCGAGGCATGGTCATCCACATCAGTCAGCAAGGTGTTTGATAGGGATGATGAAAAATTATTTTCTTAGTTCTGATTTATTATTGTGAGTTCTATCTTAGGTAAATTGTTTTCTAATTTTTGTTCTCAGTTTCTGAGGATGGAGAGACGTGGAGACTCGTTACAGATTCAGCCAACTTGTGATTCTGTGAAATTCACTTGCTACACATGTTCTCATAGCTCTTTGATAATATGAAATATTATTACCAAACATATTCTAGTAAACCTCTGCTTCTACGAAATATTGTTGCTAACATATTCTAGTAACCTTGTGATTCTGAGATGTACATGTAAATGAAGCCCTTTTGGGTCTGGGAAATACTGACAGAAGCTTATTTTAATAGCCTAGTGATTCAAGGAAATACTGATACTAAAGATATTTTAGTCACCAGGTGATTCTAGGAAATACTGATACTAAAGATATTTTAGTCACCAGGTGATTCTAGGAAATACTAAAGATATTTTAGTCACCAGGTGATTCAAAGAAATACTGATACTAAAGATATTTTAGTCACCAGGTGATTCTAGGAAATACTAAGATATTTTAGTCACCAGGTGATTCAAAGAAATACTGATACTAAAGATATTTTAGTCACCAGGTGATTCTAGGAAACACTGTTACTAAAGATATTTTAGTCACCAGGTGATTCTAGGAAATACTGTTACCAAAGCTATTTTAGTCACCAGGTGATTCAAGGAAACACTGTTACTATAGATATTTTAGTCACCAGATGATTCAAGGAAATACTGATACTAAAGATATTTTAGTCACCAGGTGATTCTAGGAAATACTAAAGATATTTTAGTCACCAGGTGATTCTAGGAAATACTGTTACTAAAGATATTTTAGTCACCAGGTGATTCTAGGAAATACTGTTACTAAAGATATTTTAGTCACCAGGTGATTCTAGGAAACACTGTTACTAAAGATATTTTAGTCACCAGGTGATTCTAGGAAATACTGTTACCAAAGCTATTTTAGTCACCAGGTGATTCAAGGAAACACTGTTACTATAGATATTTTAGTCACCAGATGATTCAAGGAAATACTGATACTAAAGATATTTTAGTCACCAGGTGATTCTAGGAAATACAGATACTAAAGATATTTTAGTCACCAGGTAATTCTAGGAAACACTGTTACTATAGATATTTTAGTCACCAGGTGATTCTAGGAAATACTGATACTAAAGATATTTTAGTAGCTAGGTGATTCTAGGAAATACTGATACTAAAGATTTTTTAGTCACCAGGTGATTCTAGGAAATACTGATACTAAAGATTTTTTAGTCACCAGGTGATTCTAGGAAATACTGATACTAAACAGATTTGTTTAGCGCCCGTAATTGTAGGAAATACCAGTACGTTGGGACTGTAATATTTGTCCTTGCCAAAATTCACTTTTTGTGGTTTAATTTGCCTTTTTTTTTGGGGTTAAAAATTTTGTTTGAAATTCACCTGAAAAGTCATTAATTTAAGAAATACTGATAGTCATTTTAGTCACACAGTGACTCTTAGATGTCATATTAAACAGACATTGTATTTCTAGAAAATACAAATAATAATAATAAACAGATTTTGATATTCTAGCAGTGAGTCTAAGATGATGTGAAAAAACCATTTGTGTAGCTGTTTATATCTAGTGTCTGTGGCCTAGGCATTGTGAACAAGCTTTATAATGCTGGGGTGCAAAGTTCGATCCCAGCTGCGTACAATTTGTCTTGCGATGGTGTCAACAGTGGTAGAGCTGATCATTGAGGAAGCAGTGGCAAACTACTGAACATAAAAAAGCCCAGACAAATCACAACAGCCAAAGATATACTGGGTTTGGTTCTGCAACACAATGTAAAGGATATATAACTAACTTTATATCCAGTAAATACTAACACCAGACATTTTGTTGTTGTTAAGCTTGTTGTATGAATAAATACTGAAATACTTGAACAAGATGAAATTTTTTTTGAAAATTTTATTTGTTCACCTACATTTTACCATTTTGTTGGTGCTGAGAAAAATAAATTCCTAATTCAACAAATGTGTCACTGACCAGTTTATCCATTGTTTATTTCTGTCATGAGCTGTGTACTAAGTTGAGTTGAGTTGAGTTGAGCCAAGAATTGACATCACAGCATTTGGGGCATTCCCAAATGTGCTCCGTCCCCATCTTCAGCAGCCAGCACAGAGCTCCAGTCCCAATGGTGCCACTCATAGTCTGGTTGTATGTCCATCTTGCCTTTCCTCAGAGAGTAGCGAGTCAGCCGGACCCTTTGGTCACACTAAGGTGTATCATTCTCTCCAGGCCATAATAATCTAGTTTCTTTTCTGACTTCGTTACTTGTTCAAAAAAGGTTCTGACCATATCTGCCTTGTCATGATTAAAACACCACCCAGTGGTGCGGATCCACCTAATCTGTCTGCCTGTTAATCTCCCACCACGCTAGCATTGCCTGGAGAAAAGATTCAAAGTATGTTCACTACCTGTGACCTTCCAAGTGAAACTTGCCACTCTGCTGAAAGCAATCATGTCCTCACCTTTCTCAGCATGCTTTCATAGTCTGTTATAATTACGACATGTGTATGCATCTTGTTCTCTAATCGCGGCAAGCTGCAGTGACCACCTCCACCTCCATTCTCATGCTAGATGTTGTGGTGTCATATGCTAGGTTGTCCTGCACCAAAGATTTTCCATTGGCTTTCGCTATGAAACCCCAGGCACTTCTCTTCCCTCTCAACATAGAACCATCTGTAGAGATAATCAGATCATCAGGATGAGAATTGTCATGAATCAAATTCCACCTCCTTAGCTCCCACTGGCCACTTTACAATCCCTGCCCAATGTGATCATGACCCTACACAGGTCAGACTTTTCCTCTGGCACTCTGATCCACTCCTCTACTCATCCAATGTTTTCCAGCATGCATACTTGTCTTATTGTATCTTCTGTTTTAGCCATCTGCAGTTACTCTAAAGTATTACTTAGCCTGCAGCACCTTTAGCCTAACTGCAATAGTCGGCAATGCAAGCATGTATCACATGCACTCAATCGGGGTGTCTTTGGTACATCCCAGGATCACATGTGTGCTAAGTGTGATTGGCTATTCTTTGTGATCCCATTAAAAAAAGGGGTGCACTTTTTTTTTACACCAGTGATGTACTTTTTTCACCATTGGTGCACTCTTTACACAAATGGTGTGCTGTTTTGTTTACGCAGATTTTTACACCAGTGTTGCACTGTTTTATGTGAGCAGTCACTTTTTAAATACAAATGGTAAACCTTTTTTTACACTAGTGATGCACTTTTTTACACTAGCAGAGCACTTTTTAACTATAAGTGATTCACGTTTTCACACCAGTGATGCACTGTTTTTTTTTTCACTAGTGGTGCGCTTTTTAAAATACAGGTGGTGCAATTTTTTATACCAGTTGTGCACTTTTGTTTTACTAGTGGTGCACTTTTTTGGGAGATGAAAGACTGGAATAGAGGGAGGGAAATATGTGGAAAGAAAGCGAGTTGGGAGAATGTGGTTAATGGGGTAGGGAAAAAGAGAGTGATGATGGAAGAGAGGAAAGGAAGGGGGAATGCAGAAAATTTGGGAGATGGGAAGGGGGAGAAAAAGAGACAGGAAAAAAGGGAGAGAAGTCTGATGAGATAACACAGCTTCATTATATCTGTTGAAAATTACCGGCTTTATCTATAATTTTTCCCTCTGATGTGTCTCTGCCTTTGTATGCTAGAGTGGCTTTTGGGTTTCGGTTACTCAGGAGCTATACTGATAGTAGTTGTCTTTTACAATATGCTTTTTCAAGGATGCCATGGGATATTCCTCCCACCCCCACCCTTCCAAATGGGACTGCAAGACCCGCACAGGGAAATGAATATTGTGATTAGAACTAGTTAGAGCTAAGTGCCATTGGTGGGTAAAAGGCAGAAGATGGAAATGGTTTAAGTTTGAAGTGATAATTTCAAATCTTCAGTGTCGGTCAGAGATTATAATTCTGCAGTCTAGAATATTCAAGTGTGCCGGGTAATCAGCAAGCCGATCAATTAGCTGCTGCTGCTTCTCTGGGTGTAAGCTACTTTATGATAAAGTGGACATGGTGAAGGTTGTCTGGGATCAAGTGGACAGTGCAACAGAAGAGACAGCAGAGTATATGAAAAACTAATTTGTTGGAGGGAGGGGGTGGGGGGCAGAGAGATTCTGGATGATGTTGAACACTGAGGGGGAAGCAAATGATACTGTTAGCATACTGACTCGTCATTGACGAAGGAGATGGAGCACGTTTTGGACTGTCCCGAGTGCAGAGATGTCGTTTCTTGATATTTTAATTTATTCTTCCTGTAACAGTTGCCTGTGAGAGCATTATACAACAAATTCCAGCAGTGACCCACAGGCTGCCTAAAACATCTGCACTCGTGAACTGAAGGACAGAAACTGGAACACTTTGCCATGGAGATCCTAGACAAGTTCTTATAAAGGACCCTTTGCACGCAGTGGGGCATCTGGCATATGATGATAGTCTCATATTTGTATAGACCAATCGCCCTGCTTGATGTGGTCAACATTACACCAGCCGCCTTTACTTCCTAGAACATTACCTGATACCCATTTAGGCTGACCTGATCCTGTCAGTGGTGGATTATGGCCTGGGACTGCTTACCGTCTCAAAGAGTCAGCTGGACAAACTTTGCTTGCACATCTGTTGCTAATCTGGCTTATTTGTATGTAGACTGTTAGATACTTGCCTTTCAGGCAGAAGCACTCTGACTTTGAAGGAAATACCCCCATACAACATACTAGTTAGGGGGCCAGTGGCTCTATTCTTTGTTCTCCAAAACCCACATAGAGAATAAGTAAGGTAAAGGACCCTTTCCACACCTTCAGGCGTACTAGGCATATAAGGCTGGACCTATATTTTATAAACCAATCGGAACTTGGTGGGTAATGTCAGCCTCAGCGACAGTGGCCACCCCCGGGCAACAGCTTTAATGGGTTGGCATAACCAGGAGATTGTAGTCGACCTGGTTCTAAACCACTCGGTGATTGGGATATGCCAACCCTGCATGCAGAGACTGGACTCGGCGGATTGTGCAGATGAAACCTCTTATTGGTTCAAGAGACAAGAAGGCGATTACCATCAGGCTC